GACGGCCTTTATGGTCGTGGTCATCTATGGAATTGGTGGGACAAACATTTTAGATCACTTAATTAAAACTAACGTTGCCGATAAGAGTGAGTCACAACAGGCCCTCAATGACTCTGAAAGTAAGCTTCAACAGTTTTTAATTAGGCATCACACCTTAAATCTGTAAACTTCCTTTAAGACTTTTAATTAACTTTACTGCTGGGCCCAAAACTGGGGAGGGAAGACAATGGAAGTAGAATCAACCGTTCGGATACCTATTTACAAAGGTAATCAGAGGAGAAACCAAGGCTCAAAACATAGCCACGACAATGCATTCACGCACCTTCTGTCTCTAGGCTGGCAAACAATCTGTAGATCATTGGCCATAATTCTGCTGCCTGGTTTGATACTTTTCGGAGGAATCACGGTATTCATCACTGGCTGTTTAAAAAACATTCCCCCTATGATCATCTCTGGTGCAATAACGTTTGTATTTGGCATTCTGTTTTGCTTGCTGTGCGGCCACGTTTGCGACGGTTTGACGAAACGGGGAAGAAAACGACCTCGACGGAGTCGCGAGGAAACTACATTTGTGGCTGCGGTTTAACTTTGGCAAGAGGAGCCGAGGTGATACGGACTTAACAAAAATAAAAACGAAAAAGACGAGTACTGACCTTTAGAAGTGAGGATTAGAAACCTACAAAAAAGTACAAGTTCTAATTGAGCGGCTTTTCATTTGCCACTGTTATGGATCCAATCTTTACAACATGCGGCAATATGGTCGACTCAAAGTCATACGACTGTCATTATATTCAGCGTTAGAGGAACCATCGATTAATGAGGCTGAACCGATCAATGGAAAAAAAGGGAGAGGAAAATCGAGCGCAATGTCGTTATGTCTGCGAAAAACGACTGACAATGAGACAATTTTGAAATAAATCGGTCGAATTAGTTTGTGGACCTTTCTATGGCCGGAACCAACAGTTTTTGTAAATTGAATTAAAATGGATCAGTAATTGAAGAATATCAGATGCTTTCAGAATTTGAACTTTAATTAAAGATTATTAAAATTTCTACCAAACTTTGGATCGGTGCCAAGAAAGAGGTACATATTTATTGTGTTCAAGGTAAGCATGTTGTTTGAATTAATCAGCTCGACTATAACCTAATCATCAAAACTATTCGCAGCACGTCAGAACAGTTCAAATGATTCTTAAACGCTAGAATGTTTTGGTTTCGGAAGAACAGCAATTATGTGTATACTGAAGGGAAAAAAATCTAATGTAGAGAAAGTATACTTTCTGAACACGAGCAATTCTACCAAAACAATGTTTTTATTTTGTCTTCTTTGTTACAAAGTTGATAACCATCTTGATTAGTAAGTTTGATATACGTGAAATGTTAAGAATTTTGCGTACATGATTAATTTTTAATTGTATAACTGCCAAAGTTGTATACACTTATTCAAAGAGATGCCCTCAGGCAGTCCATGGATGAATGGATCAATCAACAGGTATAGCATTTTACGCAGAGTTAGTAAGATATGAAACCCTCTAGATAAGAAATACGTCTTGGAATGTCTAAAGTTGATGACCAGTGGTAAACATGTCAGGTGACTTCCTCAGCAAAGACCGAAAGGACATTAAGGAAAAGAGTTATCATCTTCTAGAGAGAAGTTCAGAGTGCTAGTCTATAATGTTCAAATTTATCTTCCTATAAAGAGCTGTTTATATGTAGGAAAGGAATTTTCGTCTCCTAGTTAACAATCCTAAATGTCAGTCTAAATATTTCCCAATTATCTTCACACCATGCGACCACAAGATCGTGTCGTCATTAATTCGCAAAATCTGCATTCTAATTGTGAAAGACATGTAGTGCTAGCACAGGGTACGCAAGCTCAGTGCGTCAACGTGCTTCAACTGAGCCTGTTCCAGGCGTTCAGAGCGAAATAGGAAACGGCGCGATAGTAGCAGAACAGCTAAAGCTAGGGAAGGAGGATTGGGTCCGGTCGCGTTGAGTGTATTACACGACCCGACCCAGACCTCCCTCGTTTTTTCACTCCTCCGCTTCTATCGCGCCGTTTGCTGTCGTGCTTTGTATTTCCAACTGAACGCCTTGAACAGGCTAGCTACTATTAGTCTCGTACTCAGACCTTTCACGGCTAAGCCGTTGTTACGTTTCAGTTACAATTACACGGTAAAATCTGGTTACGAGATTAAGCTACTACTTAAAGACTTAAAGCCTAGAGACCGACCCTCCCATTTATACCTTGTTCCGAAGGATATTCTTCTCAGTTGATGGTTCAGCATCTTTGGACTTTCAGAAATGTTCTTCGCAAGAAGATAGTTTGTTGTTTTTCCTTTTTTGTTGTTTATTTTTCCGAGCAGAACTTATTGACGCCGCCAGGAGCCCATTACCCGGAGCTTTCATCTTCCATACTTACCCTCTAAGTCAACCCTGTCCAGTATCTTTTAATTTTCAGAAGCACCTCCCACGGGATTTTTCGCGAGTGTTTACATAGTAGCCAATCATACGAGAGCTCTGGTCATCTATTGTTTACGTCACATGCATGTCGCACGAAAGTATTTCAATAATTGCGAAAAGCACGGAAGGTCAGCGTGTTTTCGCGGGAAATTAAAGAACCCCTCACATATCTCAATTCTAAAAATAAAAAGATACGGGACAGGGTTGACTCAAGGGTAAAATTGGTATGGAGGCTCCGAGTAATGGGCTCCTGACGTCGCATGATTTGTCAGCTCTTCATGACCAAACTACTGCGATCTTGCGTGATAAAATGTCAACTCACCGACTAAGAGGGGAACTTCGGGAGCCTGTTACCTGTGGGTATAAAACCCTCCTCGTTGGTGAGATAACTTTTTTAAATTTCATAAGATGCAAGTCGCACTATCACGTGAGGATGAAGGCCTCCCAATAGACAGTTCTTTAATCGCATTTGGTTAAAACGTGGTAACCATGGTAACACCTCGAAATGGCCATAATAAGACTTACTATCCATTACCCATGTCTGGTGGATATAGATCCTACAATTGTTCCTATTGCTCGCTCTACAAGACACATACGATCGTCTACCAATACGGCTGTTAACAAATAATCTGTACCTAAATGCAAGACTTCAACCTTTCAACGGTCATTTATTGTACGAGCAAAAAAATCTGGAACACACCGTGAGACGAACTTAACCTAAGTATGAACAATGTAAATGACTTCAATCGCGGTTTGATGTGTTATTATTCATCCAAGTGATCTAAGACATTGACAATCCCAGGACTTATAAAACTATCTGCACAAAATGTAATTCATGTCGCAGCCTGGAAACAATATCAACTCCATGTTGTTCTTAATTATTAATTATTGATGCAATCGTTTTAGTCTTTTAATACTCCTGTTGTGGTTGCCTGCCCTTATTGTTATGGAATTTACCCATGTTCCACATTGTATGTATTGCTGGCAAAGCTAATAAATAAAATTGATAAATAAAATAGCTGCTTTAGTGTTGTAGTGTGCCGTTAGAAATTGAGGATATTCGAAAGAAGCTGTGCCAGGGTTGTACGAAGAATGAAACTGAGCTTTCGAAAACAACTTGAAAAGATACACTTTCCTACCATAATGAACGCAGGATTGTCGCTGGTACATCAACCATAGCCAATGCTTCATGCGAGCACACGCAGCTGCTCTTTTTTCCTGTTTTGTTTTTCATTTGGGTCTTGTTTACAGCAGGGCACAACCATCAGCTGGATCCCTTGACCGACCTTTGAGAGAGCCCGCGAAAACAACAGCAGCAGCAATCTACGCTTTTTCAATCGTTTTTATTTGGTATGTTGCCGGTTGAAAGAGCTGACCCACAAAATCTAACGGGTTACGTAAAGGGTTACGTAAGTTTCTAAGGAAATTGTGATGGTGCCGTTGTTACATTTCCAAAGAGGGATATTTCAAGATAATTCTGTTTTGTCAGCTGAGTTGCTAATGTTCGTGAGTTGGGCGCCGTTGTTGCGAATGCCAAGTGAAGCCGTTCTTTGCAAACTTCTCGATTTTTATTTTTCTCCGTAAGATACAATAAGATTCTCTAGTGTTGATCTAATCCTAGCTGAAATTACTCATCGTCTGTAATCAGTTTGTATTGTTCAATCAGAAAGGGTCTCCTATTTCAACTTTAAATATAACCAAATCATGTAACAAACCTTTCTCTACACCTTAAAGAGTTAGCTCTTCGTCAGAGGGAAAAGAAGAATTTTTGGCTATGTGTAGTTTATATGCAGAAAGATGCTGTTACTTAATAGGTGAGAACATGGTAACAATTAAAACAACAGAATAGATAAGTTTAATTGAAAGCGTCCGTTGATACTGCATGATGATGAGTGTCGATTTTATGAACTCTATTGATAAAACAAAATTATTTTAAAGTGTTTTTGCTCCAAAGAACACGGCCTAGATATTTCCGCTGGATTACGTTGTTTTTTTTGGTTGGCACCATCAGTGGAGCTGCCTTCTACAGCTGTGAAAGTAAGATCTAACCCAAATAGATAAAGCCAGCCAGGATCATGATGAGCAACAAAATTCCCTCCAATTGCTCAATCACTGTCTGTGAAAAGGTCGCAGATACGAAATGGTTCCACTTACGCAATATCGTTTTGAAATGTCCGAATTGATCTCTCCACCCACACACCCGCAGCAAAATAGACAATTGTACCGCCACAAATTGGCCTGCCTTTGTGTTCTACCGATGGTTGTTGTCGCTGCAGGAGCAACTCTTATTGGTAGCGGCATGGGGCTGTGGTCAACTCGAGCCATGGCAAAGAATATTCTTGTTTTAATCGGAATGGCTGTGTATATGGTTGGGTTGTTCTACTTTATAGTCGTCAATTTGGCATATCGATCTTGTTTGCCAGAAGAAGAATCTGTTTATGACCGGGCGCAAGCAGATATTTCAACAAGTGAAATAACAACTGTTGTTATGGACCACGAGGGATTTACTGGTGCCAAAGAAGAAGCAGAGACAATAATTTAAGACTAGAGCTCCTATCATTTTTAATTTACAATTCTCTCTTCTAAGTGTTTCACATTCATTCCTCCTAAAGTAGCATTCGAGAGAACTTAGTGTTGGAACAGGATAACACCTTCCAATTGATTGATATGCTTATCAATTCTTAGCACTTGTTGAATGAATAATGTTTTGAAATTGCGTAGAGAAGCTACACTTTCATCCTCGTGGAGCTATATGGTCGATGTCAAGTTTGACAGTATTCTCTTTCAGCTACGAAGAATTGAAAGCCATTAATTCGGGGCAAAACTGGAAGACATCGAAGCCAAGTGTTCAGGCTTGTGATTGTGCCTCACTTTCCTTCATCGATTTCCAAACTACTTATTTTCAAATATCTTTGTAAGAAAATCATTGAAATTTTTAACTGGTTTAATATCATGCTATCTTTGAATTCCCGGCGACTGAATGTAAACGAGATTCTGAAATAGCGCGATGCTGGCTTTCGCAATGCCGTCAAGCACGTTCTTGCAAATGCGCGCTACAGTTATAGGTACGCAAGACGTAGATACCATACCTGTAAAAGAAGCAATTTCCGAAGTGCATGAAATCTCTGTTTCAAAACGGGGGAAGAAACAAAAGCTTCGATACGAAAAAGAGTTTCATGCTCTTGCAAATATCGCTTATTTTCGCAATAAATGTTTAACTCTTGGCCTCGTTTCGAAAGTAAAGGTTTCTAGAATTCGTAAGTGGACTATTCCTAAATCTAACATCCGCATGAAAATTTTAAATTTCTTTACTAATGAAATGCTCTGCTAAAGGCATCGAGTACGTTATGTACAGGATTCACAGACGGCAATGCACCTTTCTGATGCAAAGTAAATTTTTTGTTTTTCTTCCTCTTAAGTGCAGCTGTTATTAGGATATCAAAATAATTTCATAATCATTCCATAAACTATTACAATTTATCCCAGCAGCTCATTCTCTCTCCTTGGCTGTTCACATTGTACTAAGATTACAATCGCTTAAGAAATATGATAACATCCTGGTATATTCGTACAGCTTTATCCTTTTCGTTGTTGTTTGTAAGGAACAATGATATATATTTGGAATAATACTTTTTACATTGAAACAAAAACAAAGGGAAGTTAAATGCAAGGTGAACCAACCCCTTATATCATGCAAACATGCGATTACTCGCCAAGAACTACGTACGTGAAGCGAAGATAAAATTTAATTAGGAAATTAGTGGAACTTACAGGGGCGTAGCTAGAGGCTTTGAAAGGAAGGAGTCAAAGTTAAGAATTTTGGCACCTCTCACGTGAAGTGGCTACGTACCGCTGCTCTAACTTATGCGTCTTTGGATTCGAGCGTTCTCGCCAACAAAGTAAGAATGTTGTTGACGTCAAACAAAGTCATCTCACCAACGAGGGAGGGGTAAACCGGCACCTCTGGACTTCCCCCCCCCCCTAGTAACGCCCCTGACAAAGAAGATTAAAAACATCTCAGTGTACATTTTATGCAGTAAGCTTTAATTTACAACAGGCTAACACACCCATCCCCTGCGAGTGGAGACTAAGTCAGGGTGGCAACGATGTCAAGCCAAAGACATCGCTTCCTCGTAAGACGGGGGGACCTCAAATGCCTCTGGATTCTCCAATGATAATAAAACTTCATCGATATTTACCAAGCAAGTCATATCAATCACTAATGGGGAAATGGACCTTGCGCTGGGAATGTCTTCGTTTCGGAGAGGACCAGGGCATGTTGGGAGCATTGCCGGTGAGTGACGCCACATACCCGGTGAAGTTGCTTCCGTGGAAATGTTAGCGGAGGCAAACTCCGATGTCAGATCTACTATATCGCTGTTAGGACGCAATTCCACTTGCCGTTCTCTTTCCCTCAATCGAACCCGACATTGTATTCCGATAGCCAGCAACACGCCAAAACTTAACAAGAAGCCTCCAACGGGAGTCAGAAGGATCCGGTGTCCACTGGCATCTCCATGAATTGAAAATGAGGTGATTCCCGCAACAAACATCACCAGGCCCGCACAGGTGATTATGATGGAAAATGGGCGGAACAGCCATAGCCAGATGGAAGATTTAGCGGAGACGGTGGGTGCATTACTCTCGTTCATGTTTCAATACCTATGTCGTAAAATAAAGAAAAATTTATCTTTTTTTATCTTTTTATCGTGGAAACGGCTTCTCTCCAGGTTCACATCGCAAGCGACAAAAATATTGTTGAAAACTGAGTCGAAGAGCCTTTTTGCCACGGTTTAAAAAAAATCATTGTCCGTCAATTCAAACAAATTATATCATTTGTTTTAATTTGATTTTTAATTTACTTATTCAATGACAACGGATGGATTGCAAAATTTTTTGATTGATTGAAGGATTAATTAGTCAATTAACTGCTAAGTATATTCCTTAACTGATAAACTGGCTGGTTATTTGATGGATTGATTGGTTAATTAATTGATTAATTGAAACTGCACGTGGTTGAATCACGAATGGATGGATGGATGGATGGATGGGTTGAACTCAACTTAGAGAAGAAAATGAGTTTTCCATAAAAATGCCAGATGTTGTCCTCCTAGAACGAAATAAACTTTAAACACGATCGACGGTCATCCAACAATAAATATAACTAAATTCGTGCGATAACTGATAAAATTGCAATTTCGACCCTTGACCCGGCCGTCTCAGAAGCTTACAACCAAGGAATTTCCATGCCACTGCCTGTAACTGCTACATATACAAACTTTTCTTAACAGGATATCATATGCCCGAATTAGTCAAAAACATCATAATTTATTATTCACATAATAGCTAGTTTTCCTTATTTCGATCAACATCGAGTCAGTAAAAACCGGAAGTTTGCATTTGTTTCGAACAATCTTAACATGATAACTGATTATACTTTTTATTTGTTATGATGTTTTATCAATAGTTGTGGGCCGCCGGCCGTGTAAAAGAGAACCTTCAATTCCCTTATTTTCATCCTTTATTTTAATCTCCTTTAATATTAGACTGAAGAAACTCTCGAGTCCGTTGTTACAAAATTAAAAATTACTGCGGCAGTGAAATCGCTAACGAGTTAAAATTTCTGCTCGATTTCTATCTAATTTATGGTCGAATCAATAAAATGCTGCAAGTGGAATTAAACAGACTGAATTTGAATGAACTGTGTCGGGTTCATTCGAATTGGTTTTTAGAAGAACTGTAGATTTTTACTAATCGGGAAGGAAATTGAAACCTTTGAATTATTTCGTAACGGAGGTGTTTAACCGGCGTTCTGTCTGGGTGAAATCAAGCAGGACGTGTTTCGCTTCGTTTGCTTAAAACAGTTCCCTCAAACAACAGGACAAAGTCGACTGAAAGACTTTTAAACGAACGCTTGAGAGAGAGATAATTTTTAAAAGCTCGTATTAAATAAAATTACCTACCAATTGTCTAGTGCTGTGTGTTTTCCCGAAGAACTGACCTTCGATCTTGCTATATAATATGCTGTAAATCCTCAACGAGTTTCATCAGCGTTTGAAACTCGCTTCTTACAAATTAAATGTGCGATTCGCAAAGATGGTGTAATACTTTGAGCGCCTTTCATTCAACAAGATTCAAATCCTTGATATTTCAGTTTACATGTAGTGATATTTAGGACTACTGGTCTTCCACTGTTGTACAAAAATTATAAATTATCTGTGTTATTTTTTTCGGAACGAAGAACCGCAACTCATGACATCAAGAGTTGTGATTGGACAAAATAATTATACATAAGGGGGATATACGTTCTGGGTACTTTCGGTTTCCAATTCTAAATTGCATCACGGTTTAAAAATATATCTGAACGCAAAGCACTTTTTGCTTATGTTGACAATTCTTTATAAACACACAGTGAGTCACCGTCGAGTTTTTCTTCAGGACGGAAGAAACAAAGTATGATAGATCCTATTTATTTTTGCAAGTTAAATTCTTTGATTTGTTTCAAGTACTGCGAAATTCTTTGCTAACTTATCCTGATGGTTTTAGAATAAATTTCGGAAGAAGTTGTCTTCCGCGCCACTGAAAATGTTTCGATCCTCGTAAACTTTTAGCAAATCGTACACGCGGGCAGGTATTATCAGCCGCTGCCGTCAAGAGAAAATAAAAAGGCGATCTCGCTAAAGGAACAATTCCTCGAAGATTCTTTGATCACATAATAAATTTCTCAGTATACAAACCAACAACGTACCTTAAATTTATTTTCGTAAATTATTTTCCAAGGAGATCAAATGCTTATTCAAATAATATATTTTGCAAATGTCAAAGAGTGAAAAAAAAATTTGATTACTAGAAAGCATGGGTGCTCCAAAGCATTCATTTTATGACCAGCGTTGCAGTGATATCATATACCAAGGACTGTGGTAGTTGTAAAGTCGTAGTAGGTTATATTTTTGTTAATCATTTTGTGATCAAGGCTGCTTACCAGATGCGGACACCAACTGATGAGGAAAGACTGATGTCGGTCTAAAATGCGATATTCTCTCGTCGTGAGAGGCCGTTCGTCCGTTAGCCGTTTAAATGCTCGTTAGATTCTTAATTAAGGTCGAGGTAAACATTTCTTTTCGCTGTAGTCTAATAAATAAACACCGTATCTGTTCTGTTATATGTATACCATTCAAAAATTATTTACCCGACTTGCCGTGTGTGTGTTCCTATCGGTTCGGATCCGTAACTTTGTGGGATATAGCCGGCAAGGAAAGAAGCAACGTAAAAACGTCAGAATACAGCTGTTCCTCTCCGCTAAACTGTACAGGCTTTGTTCGTAGTTATTTCAGAATAAGGTAATCCTATTTCGCTGGATTATTTAGTTGTTTTTGCTTATTTATGATTCAGATTGTCCACTCAAAAATTTTTACTTTCCGTTTGAAATAATCGTAGACCGCTCGGGGCTCGAAATCCAGGGCGACTTTGTTTGTTTTTGAATACGATCTAAAATGTGTCTCTAAGATGAAAATAATCATGCCTATATGCTTTATACCGTGAAGGCCCGCGAAAACAGAATACACTAAAATGCTGACAAGATAGACAAAATCCTCCTCCTGCTGAACTTGCTGCTGCCTGGCTAACTTCCAGCAATCTTGACCGAGAAAATTTAGTCACTTGTGTCTGGGAGCCATGTAAATTAACTTTTGTTTATTATTACTCTTCACGTAGGGTGTGTGTGTATGTGGGGGGGGGGGGGTAAGTTCACGCAGGTAGGGAGGGAGGGCAGGGATAAGGCAAAACTGGCTTATATCCGTATTCAATCAGCACACAGGATATTTAGTTTTTTCCATTCTCTCATTCTATCTTTACACGGGGGGAGTAGGACGAATGGATGGAAGGAGATATCACATGTGATCAAAATGATTACCCGCCAAGGAAACCAGCGGCCAGTAAAAAATAAATAATTATCAACTATTTATTTTCTTTTAAATATTCACATAAGCTGACTTTTTAACTATTATTATCAATTTAAAATTTACAAATTTGAAATAAAAAATTCAAATCTCTTTGATATACAACAAAAGACATAATTTTTGACAATAACGCCTTTGTTTAAAGGCATATCTCGCAAATCGTCAGACATTGCAGGTCAATAAAAGAGAACAAAAGCTTTACACGATAAGAAGGAAAAAATTGTCCCACAATTGAGAAGCAGTACTCGATTACTTAATCGAATTGACTCATGCCAGACATATCTCGGGAAAAACTCTGCGTTTAAGCTTTTTTTCATGTGCGTTTTTCAGGCGAGCAGATAGAGGGCGAGGCAAGGAGGGAAAGGGAGAGTCCGCGCGAAAGCGGAACCCCTCGCGTTTACCTTTCTCCCAATTGAAAAACGCAAAAACAAACTCATGCTGCCATGCTTGTTCCGCATGTTAAGAAAATTACTAACTAAGAAAATTTAGCCAAAATCTTCCTAAATAAGCACCGCGTAATGTTAGGCTTTGTCGAAAAAATTAAATAAGTTAAATAATACAGCCTTGTTGCGTGCTCGGCTGCCGGACATTTAGCTATTGTCTTTAGTTTAATGTACTAAACGAATTCTGCATAAGGAGGCGGTGAATCCCTTAGCCAAGACAGTCTAGATGTGTCGAAAGTGGTAACCACAACAAAGTCATATGGAGGTGGTGATGGTTTTAGAGTCCTCTGCTCTGTACCTACAACCTCAGGTCCAAAGTTTGATGGTCCATGATCCTGAGGTAATGTTGTACAAGTCGCCTCTGGAATCCTATCAGTGTTGTTGGAAGATTCTAATCTTCCATTATCGACACACGCATAAGAATCTCCGCAAGAGCAAGAAATGTCAGGGCTGGTTACAAACGGTTCGCCCGAGCAAATTGCATATGAAGGTGGATTATCAACCACAGCTGTAGAAAATCCCGGGTAGCCTGGTAGATATGGAAAATCAATGTCAGCGTCTGGATTTTCTTGGCCGTTGTCTCCAAAACGCGGTGATCGCGAGGCCATTATTTTTCTCCATCCGCAACCAAATCTTCGAAGTAAGTCACACAAGACGGCCAAACATGCGCCCGCGATGCACAAAACTAACCCGACAGCGCCCATGCCATAATCAGATGAAGTAAAGCCAGCCACAACAAACACGACTCCCACCATTAAACTGGCGATGTACAACAAGAAAAGGAACATCCACCATTCAGAAACTTTATATCCGTTCGAATTGTACTGACAGAAAGTCATTTGGTATCGAGGCATCGAAAATTTCTTCAATGTCAAGCTTGCACGTTGACCAACTAAAAACTCATGACGGTCACTTGCTTTGTTTTGGCAATTGGTGTGATTGCGCTGAGGGAAAAAACCTGATTACAGAATGAAAATTTTTTTAAGATTTCATTAGTATTTCAAATGAATTATGAGTTTCAGTGTAGAAAAAAAAACCCATACGAAAATTGCCCAGAAAAACGAACGCAGAATTTTAAAAGCGCAGAGTTCGGTTGAAGGCTGTACTTACCACCGTACGATGCAATGCACGACTCAGGCCTGTTGGTTAATTTGAATAATGAAATTTTTTTTGGCGTTTAGAAAAACGATTTATCCCTTTCCTTTTTTATGACAAGGCTTAAATTGGTGAAAAAGCGGACGAAAAACGCTCGGTTGGCTTTTACGTGGAGGTTCATGCAGAGATATGTTGTCGAAAACCGAAATCTCTGTGAAAAAAAATTTGCGACTGATCTAAAAATTATGTATTGTCATGGCTGTCAAACGAGAGCACGTGCTGAATGAATGCTAGGGGTGATTAAAATTCATGTACGTGATTGCCAACGCGTTTCCCTTGGGTGTTATTCAAAACGAATCAGTATCACGAGAGTCGAACGAGATCGACACAGGGCACATTTCATCGTTCAGGTCAGTCTCTGATCTCCCGTGCACGTGAAACGCGAGTGGCATATTCATTAAAATGCCATCTTTAAATATTCAAAACAAGAAATTTCCATACAGCCTTATCTTTATAGAGTTATTTTAGAAGCGAAAGATATTTTGATTCTTCGCACATTTAAATTTTTTGTGTTGATCTTGATCTTTACTGTCAATTTCTGTCGTTGTTTTCAAAGCAAAGGTTTAAATTTCCTCATAGTTTGGCATATTTCAGTGTTGGACTGCAGGTTGTATTGTCAGCGCGGTCTGTAAACACAAACATTTGAGCCTAAATATAATGTCACGCCACATATAGTGCAAGAAATTCTTCATTTGCGGCGCACGTAAAGAACAGTTCAAGGAGCTGTGGTCAGTCAAACTGTGTCTAACATACATGTATAGACAAAGAAAAAGAAAGAAATCTGATAAATAGATACACTTTTCCCACCTACGATGCCAAATTTAAAGCGAACTTGATACTTTTGTCACCGTCACGTGGTATGGATAAAAGTTTACGTAGTGACAACATACGTGGTTCATGGTCTTTCATTTCACAGACGGCTTAGTGAACGAAGAAGATGTTGCGATTTTAGCCCAAAATATTACAAAAATATTCTTTAATAAGCTTTCTAAAATTATTTTCCGGAGCTGGAGAGTAGAAACTGAAAGGGACTGTTGTCGGTTGCAGTATCTGACGTTTCGATATCCTGAGCGGAAGTCATCTTCAGAGTCAAGCGACGATGTTGTTATTGTCCTCTCGGGACAAGCTACAAACACGAAATATCATCGTCGTCATTTCCTTCCTCTTTTTCACCGACTTTTTGCAATCGTAAAGGTGAAATCCTTTCGGCGCCCTTAAAGAATGACCTCTCGGAAATAAATATATGTATCAGAGTGATCTGAGCGTCGAAGTCCTAGAGCACGTTCTCTTAAATAAAGGTTGTCTTTTTTCCATCGTCACGACTGCCGGGATTGATGCTCTCTAAGGGGCTGGTGAGAGTGCGGAAGGCGGGCTAAGACCAAAAACCGGATATTTTAGAGGATTTTTTGGGGTTTCAAAAGATTCTCAGAAATGTAAGAGATTCAAAAAAGCTAATAGCATTTTCGCTGGATTTTTAAAAGTGATTATTAGGTAAACTGTTGCATTCCATTGACGTACAAAGCAAGGTTGGTCTGCCCGCGGAGCCGATTCTCTAAATATTAAACGTGCCGAAAGCGAAAGCTAGCTGGCTGGCAAATTTCTCTGCGTATCAAAAATTTGAAAATTAAGACATAAGTCAGCACTTTTATACTTCTAAGACTGGTAGAGGAAAGCCCGCCTTTCTTCCTTTTCTTCCTTTTCTTCTTCGTTTTGTAGGGAAATACAGGAAGGAGGTTGATGAAAAGAATTATAAATGAAAATTGGAAATTTTTGAATTTATGTTTTGAAGCATTTTCGCTATTAATGTGTCTAGCCTTGGCGGTGGCTAGCGACAAGACCAATATTACAGATCACCATGAAAAATGTGGTCATTTATAAAGACGTGACAATCCTAAAGAGTGACCAATGTGACCGGTTAAAACAGTAAACAGTTTTTGGTTTTCGTGGTGGCCACCCACTGGTTGTTTTTGTCATGATATTTGTCTTCCATTTTGTGAGGGCGAGGAAATGTCAGTTGCTTTTATTTATTTATCTGAGACGTAACTTCATCGCCCGGCGATGACGAGAGGAAGAAAGCAGTCCGATCGTTGTGATCAAGCATTTGATGGCTTGACATTTGAAACTCTCAATTGTGATGTAAACGATTAAATGGTCATGAATCACCAGAACGATGCACCCGGACAACATTATTTGGGTAGATATAAAGCAATTTTAAAATCTCTCAAGTGAAACGCAAAATGATATGATAATTTTTGATCATCATTATGAATAACCAACCTAATTCAATTAGTAAATTACATTTCTGTTTTACCTCGCAAAGTTTGTAAGCCTCTAGTTAAAAGCCCTATCACCTCAGTTATGACAATTTGAAAAACTTAAAAAAAACAAAGACGGATTTTACGTGATTTATGGAAAGAACTAATCGAAAGCTAATTATTTCATGTCGTACGTATGATTCCATTATATAACGGGAGCACTTTATTTCAGTCACGGAAGAACTTCTCGAATAATTTATTTAAGAATATCATAAAACACTTTGCTTAACAAAACTATTTTCCTGCCAAGGAGTGAGACCTGGGCACAAGAATTAACATCAAGAACAGATCAGGCGATTTTATGTGGAAGAATTCCTTTCAATTACTGACAGGGAAAGTAAAAGAAATTTGTATGGATGGTAAATGATGTACTTTAGTCTTCTGGACTTGCGTGCAACACATATCCGTCTGGCGTAAGGCTGGATAAAAATTTGTTTTCATTTCTAAGCAGGGAAAGCGAAAAAAAAAAAATTTAGTGGTTTGTTCGGATCAGCACCGTTCCCCCACTCCTTTGACGCATCTCCCAGATGACCAAGAACGAAGCAGAAAGGACTTCTACCTTGGTAACCGGGCCTGTGGTTCATTTATGTTTTTCAGGATCTTTTTGTGGCTTCTGAGGTTTAAAGGAAGAAAAAAAAGGTTTTAGGTCAGTAAACATTACTCTATAAAATTACTTACGTATGTATCCCGTTCTAAGAATTCACCTCAGTTATAGAGAGCGAATTTCGTAAAAACCAAAACCAAAACCAAATTAATCCCAACAATCAATCGAAATAAAGTAAAATTTAAAATGGAAACTGCAATGAGACGTACAAAATGCCTGCGTGAAACGCCAAAAACCTTAAGTGACCAAGCTGAATGACTAAGCTGAATGACCAAGCTGAATGACCGAGCTGAATCATAGCTGTTCGAGGTGATATGAAATTTAAATACCTACCAGGCAGTAAAGAAAAGACAATCATGCAATGTAATCCCGGACTACTTCCCATACTGAATCAAAAAGTTGTTTTTAATTTATTTACTTACAGTTTTATCGTTTTTCAATGCTAAGCGCACACCGCTGGCCTCAAACACAAGCTTGAACACGTTTTCGGAGGAGGAAACTGGTGACCATTCCTGATGCTGCTGTCTTAACTCCGCAGCTTTTTCAACCTGTTTCACATCGCCCTTGGCTTGTTGCTGCGCTTCGACATCCGAGAACAACTCTTTAAGTTCATCTATATCTGAAGGCCTTGAATAGTTGTGCTCCGGAACCATTGTCTTTCTCCACGATGATAATGACGATGATGATGATACTAATGATGATGACGAGGATGATGATGACGATAAATTTTCGTTAGGGTCATCGTCTGCACAGCTGGGAGCCTTGCTAAACGCACCTGTTAGCGATAAGATGGACGAGGATGAAAGCGCACTTACCTCTCCCCTAACCTACATTAACCAATCATATTTGACTGTTAGGGGTTGATGCAGTTGCTCAGACACTTACATTTATCCGCAGACTTCAGATGTACTACGGGCACAATACCATGCATGCACTACGGGCACTGTAGATTACCTCATCGACAATTTCTTGATCAAGCAGAAACTCATATAGAAGGCGGAGAACGTAATTTTTAAGCCTTTAACAGTTGTTAGAGTACTCTTAACTTACTAGTTGTTTGATTAATTTGGTTTTATATTATAGCTGATTTCGATCGATACTTAAGTTCACTACTCGAGAAGTGTTAAATGTCATTTCACCGGTGAATGTTAAATGTTACTTTTGAGCACGGAAATTATTCAAGTGAAATTTGTAAGGAATAAATAATATGTATTTGACCTGCCGTACAATAACAAAATGATATTTTTGACATCGCGGACTACTTTTGTTTCGCAATCAAATCTGAGACCTGGCAGCAAGTTGAGGGAAATCAATTTCCGTTGTGAATTGTCGTAATTACTTCACATGCGTCAAAATATGCTATTTTGGATGAAGCTAAGTATATTGCAAGTAGTCCTAGATTTTCATCTCAGTCTGAAGCGAGAGCCTTCAGTAAAAGACTGCAAAGGGTCCCGTACCACCTGACCCCTCTTGTTGATAACACAATTATAAGGTCGGTTTCCCTTCGCGTTCGAAAGACTGTTAAAGAAAAACTAAATCAAAATAAAAGGCAGATTAGAAGGGAACTATAGTAAGTCAAGTATGAGTAAGACTATAATTGTTAAATTCGATTGTTCAATAAAGAGATTTGTTCATTTTTTTGCCACTAGCATAGAATAAAGAAAAATCTGAGTTCCAATGAAGACTCGAACCTCCGACTTTCGGATTTTGCGCCGAATTCCCATGCTCTACCACGGAGTTGTAGGGAACTCCATGGTGGACAGAGGATAAATACACACAAACAATACGCCATAAACGTTATGTTAACAGTTATTAAACTAGAGAGTTTCAAATGATCAGAGGTACTACTAGTGGAAACAATAACGTAACTTTCATGATTCATTCAAGGAATTTATGGTCAGCAACAAAAAAAATGTTCGTAAGGGTAACAATGGACTGTTTGATAATAGGAGGAACAGCATTGGGTTACAAGGTGTATTAGTCAATACTGTTTAAAATTATCATCTGTCACTGATCAATGTCGACTTTTTTCAAATAAGGACGGCTACTTTAAATATGACTGAGTGCATCTCCTCCAATACAGTACATCCAAGACAGCCCCTTAACGGCTTTCGATAACGTTAAGAGAGAAATCCCATATGTTACTAACAGTAAATAATATCTCATAATAATAGAAAGTTTTTTTGGGCCGCCTAAGTGATACAACAAAACTTTCTGTGAACGAATTTTTCCCCTTTTTTTTTGGAATCATCATGGAGGATATTTAAGGAAGAAATTGTCGAGAAAATCGAGCTAATTGTTGTCAAGAAAGGCCATGAAGATTTACGTTTTATTATTAATTTATGTCCCTTGTCCCAGTTTCTTCGCACACACAGTGATAAGTTCATACCTTGCATGGATTGGTTTCTCTCCATACCACTCGTTGTCCTTGTTTTCAGCTGAAAAGCAAACGTTGACTTGTTTTGCGAGTGTTCCTTAGCCTGGAATCGTTGTGTAATATCACGTTCATATAGTTCATTTCTTATAGATGTTTAGTGGAAACCATAGCAACAATCAAACAAATATTTTTCCAAAGATGACAAGATGAATGTCTACTTTAACATGGTGATTTTTGAAAACATAGTCTCTCCTTGACATCAACTGAGAAACCACAAGGCTTATGAACCTCCACGAAACAGTTCTTAGTGTAGGATCTTACGTTGAACATCGTAAAGCTATCGAATAGTGATGCCCCAAATGGTTCACGCGTGATATCACGTACTACATGTTACAAAACACTAAAAACACGACGTTCAAATCACCGTTCACACATGAACTCACGTTTGCTAATTATTACATAACGATTCATCATGACTATGATCATGAACCCGCTCGGGTAATAGTCTGAGACCAATCCGTTAAAACATATATAAACAACGTTCAGTGACTCACGTTAGGTTAGGCAGCTTTTCGGCTTGTTACGGGCATGTGCCGCTAAGAAAGGTCAATTTTTGTTTCAACATTTGCAAGAATCACATTATAAAAGTCAATCGGGCGGAAAAAGACAAAAGTAGGCATAGATCTACTTATATATACGGGCCCAGTATAGGCTGACCACCCCCTTAGACATCAATTACACACCGGTCGTTTCACCTTGTCAAGTAACACGACTGCTGATTTGATTTTCCAGGCTGGATTTTACAAAACTGAGAATGGAGAAGCCAACAAAACCGAACTGGTTACAAACCGAGAAAAGATATGGAAAAAAAATGGAGAAGAACGAAACCGAGCAAATTATCAAGCCCGGAGCTAAAAATAACAAACCTGAGGAAGAAGAGAAGGCCGAAAACACTGATCTCATTTAAACCCGAAATGTGATGAGGCAAAAATCCAGTGGGACAAATTGAGAAAAATCCCAAGTTATGGTCTTCGAAAAAGAGAAGGAAACCCCATGCTTATGCGCGAAAATAGTAACAACACCACAGGCACTGGATTGGCTCCGCTCAAAAAAATTTATTTTGAATCATAGAGAGCAAAATTCTGGAGCAAAGATTTCGATTACGCAAAGTTATGCAAAGAAGAATGGAAAAAGATACATCTTGCCTTCAAGGAAACCTAACGACTTCCTTGGAAAAATGTATATATATATCGCTTTACAGGTAATGCCCCTCCCTCGGCTCGTGCGTTATCTCACGTGCTTTGAGCGTTACATAACGCGATCGGCAGTAATGCACTAAGAACACATCGCACTAGTTGTTTCACACCCCTTGGTCGTGAGAGGAGATATTCGAAAACACAAGTCTTACGCAATCACTATTGTTCTAAGTGTTACATAACTGCCTCGTGACGATTATCGAATCTGAAAACGTGATATCTGGAACTTGTAGAGATTTACATCATCTTTCAAGCACGACCTTTGAACTGTTAAGTCACATTACATAGTCACATTAAATATATATATATGTGTGTGTGTGTGTGTGTGTGTATATATAATAACTATGATCAAAACATTCTTGGCCCTGATATGCAAACACAATACCTTGCGTGTTCTCGCGTGCTTTAGTAAAACACGGTACCTTGCGTGTTTACGCGTGCTTTAGTCAACGTAACGCTCAGCTAATCACATCTTTCACACGTTATCTCACAGGAACGAAACGTTGTTAACCCACCACAGGCCAGATCTTGACGGTGACAGCGACGGAAACGAAAATATAGCGAAATTAAAACAAAAAAATATTCTCGTGCATCACCTAACGTCCTACGTCACGAAAATTTTATTCATAAAAGAGGCTCGCTGAAAAATACACAGCAGTCGAGAAATTCATACAAATCTACATCTGAGACGTGAGTTGCGTATTTTTCATACTAGTGAGAATATCATGACGTTATTCCTGGAGCCTGGAGGGCATGCGTGCATAGATCTCGCGTGAAACGAGTAAAAAATCCATTTGCGAAAAAAGAGGCTTGAGTCAAAACTCCGTAGAAAATATGTAATAAACTTGCTGAATGAATCACAACATTTAGCTGAAATAAAAACTCCGAAACTTCTTAAAATTCCAAACAACGGAGTTACAAATTTACACGAACGAAAGCTCAAAAACAACTAAAACTCCGCGAAAACAAACTTAAAGTACGCGAAAAATGTCCACGTCAGTTTTCCAATGTCAAGATTAGAGTTTTTTGACGTGATTGGCTAATTTGTGAAATCACGCGCGCCGCGCGTGATTGCGAAAAGAATACAAAGGGGGCAAAGGAAGAGAAAAACTGTTACTTGAAATTTAAAGCAAAAGAGATTTTGTATAAAACGAACCGAACTATTTTAAACAGCGTAGTTTCCTTTCTCATTATTATAAAGCACAATCGCAATGAACTGAAAAATCAACCAATCACGGCAGAGCAAATGCTTCCAAACGAATCGTCATTATCATTCAATCTCACTGATCACCTGAAGAAGACTAGTAACATGCTGTCGAAACGTCGTAGATTCGAGTAGTTTCGTAAATCCACGCTGGAAGAAGGCTCGTACCCAGACCTTCCATGGCCTTCCGGTTACACGGTAGGATCTGGGTACGAGATTACTCCGGAAGAACGTCGTTGAGATCAGACTAACAAAAGGCTTTTCCTAAAGTAGAGGCAGGGTACGTTGCACCCTCAATACAGAATTATTGGGTTTTGTGCGACAGTGTAATTACGGCCGTAGTAAAAAGAAACTTCAATTCTTTCCACCGCTGACTGTAACTCTGAATTAGAGTTGTTACTTCACATTGTAATGTTGCTGAACGTTGTATGTTTTACTTTAAATCTTGCACCAACTAGCTTTGCAATGACTTCCACTCTCGGCCTCGCCTTTTCCTACGTGAAGCTCAGAAGAGTCAACGAAAGGATAATTTTTTTTGGACGATTCATCAACTGAGGGGGCTCGGCGGGGAGATTTGTCACACTTCACTTGTTACTGTTCTTGAGACAATGGTTTCGTAAGATGGCGGCGATGAACTTACATCCGCTAACATTTCATCATCTGTGTAACATGGCGGTGGGTCACATTGAACCTGTGTCCTGGTGTCATAAGTATCATTCGTTGTTACCTCCTCATAAGAAGGAGGATAACCAAAGATTCTCGTCAAAAGAAAGTTTAATTCCCTTCTTGATGACGATAAGCCTCTGGTCTGAGCCTCGCTATTTCCCATCTGTCCCTCGCGAAGCAGCAACTCAATGTGTTCAACACTGCGTGTTAATGGACTTTCGTTTCCTTCAGTTGTATTCTCTAAATTACTTGCTGTCTTTTTTAAATAACGTATACCAATAAAACAGAGTCCAGCTATTAATCCGAAACAACACATCGTATAACCTCCTGTTTTCATATGCGAGCTGTTATTTGTCACTCCAACCACAACCATAAGGATTCCGCACAAAATGAGAACCACGATAGCGACTACTGTCTTATACAGGCTCAATGAGCTTGTCACTGATCGCCTATGGTAGCCATGGTACCAAATTTCACTAAGTTCTTGCATTTTGCGGATGTTGTATCAAACAAGCAACAACCATTTTAATTATTCTGAGCATTTTATCACAGTGGCATGCCGAACGTTTTTCACTAGACGGTCGTGATTTGAATTTTATGGCTGATCAACCACGCATGTCGATCAAGAAAAACTCGTTGATTTTGTTTATTAAAAATATCTAGGACAAGTAATTATACTAGGAAAGCCGCCAACTTAATCACGTACTTCAACAGTATTTTGAAACTTCGTATTACACTAATAACATAGACGAATTAAACTTTCCGGACTGTTTCTGCTGACTATATGATCAACGAAAAAGGAATTTTTCGAAATAGCATCTCAGTTTACTCGGCTTTGAGTATATAAAAGTGAATGAAAATTGATAAAAGCTATTGCTACGGTACAACGTGTTCAGGAAGCCGTTTTTTTGAGTGTTAGCCTCAACTGAGCGGAGAATTGATGAATTGAAACATCATAGTAAACAAAGAATTGCCTTGTTCTGGAAATTTCTATCCCTGATAAAGCTTATGTTTGTTTTTCTTTACCAAAGAATATCGTAAAGGCCTGTGCTTGATCAACTGAGCGAATATGTGAAAGCAGGATTTTAATCCTATATGAAACATTTAAGATTCGATTCCTCCTTCGTGATTCAAAATATCTTTTAAAAATATCCTCGACAATAAATAATTTGACATTCTCGCGTTGTCATCGTTTTGGACAGGACAACCAAGCTGAGATAAACTCAGTGCTAATTTGAACATAACCGTATATTGATGTGTCTTGGTTTTCTTGTGTTGAAATCAATAAAATGTGCATAAGTAGTGTAGTAAGTAGTCTCTTATTTTCATCATATTTTACAGATTCTTGACACCCTCATTGGCTATCAGATTTAGCCTCCTCTTGACAACCACCACTTGACCTTGTTTCTATACATTGACGTTAAGAGCTTGCTACTGGCCCTGAGGGAGCACTTGAAAATATATTGAAAAGCTATGTCCATTGTATATTTTGTTAAAATGTTTGTCAGAGGCTCCAAAAAAAGTTGATTCCGCAAAATATATTTTGCAATGACATCACTTAGTGACTTAAAATAAACTTAAAAGGGGAAAGAATGAGACGAACTTGACGAAATAGGAGTAGAATGAAACGATGGTGCTCAGATGAAATAAGTATACCAAATTGTTAACGGGATTAACGAAATGTTTTCTTTTTATACCTCATCTCTCATCTAGTGCTGGACTTGTGTAACCATGGTTTACTTGAAAACTACCTAATACCAGGACAAACTCCATGGTATTTTGTCTCAGATCATCTTGGCAAACGAAGTTATAATTACTTGAATGCTGAAACAAATATAACAAGAGTAAAACATTGTAAATCATGATATTTAAGGGTCTGTGCTTTGACTTAATGATTTCCCTTTTGACCTATTTCTTGATAGTAAAATTCTACTGTTCAATTGTAAGTATTCCTTGACACTTCTTTCAATTTAGTTTAAGCATTTAGTTTAATTCTTTCAATTTAGTTTAATTAAATTAATTAGTTAGTTATCTCAGTCTTAGCCAAAGCAATATTTAGAACCTGGAAATTAAATCTAAGTGTGGGTAAAATATTCAAACAATATTACTCACGACGTCAATGATAATCGACATTTAATATCTAATAAGTAACACTCACTCTAACACTTTGTAGTTATCATATTCCACCGAAGGAACGGAACGCCAAATTATCTCTTCCCAGCGCTCAGACCTGGTAGAAGGACGCTATTTCATCTCTAACTCAGTTAACTTTTGGATAGAAGATGTTAAAATCCGTCAACAACATGTTCAGCAGACTTCAACGGTTAACGCCTCTTCTCTTCGTCTTCACCGGCTCTGTTTTGACTGTAGTGGGGAACACCTATTCTATAAATAGTCTCATAATTGCTGGACCAGTCGTTGTAACTGTGGGTGGACTGTTGCTTGTCGCCATAACGTTTTGGAACTCCTGCGGTGATAAACTCGCTGAAAATGAGTCCGCCGTAAATGGTGAGGAATTTTCAAACTCTAAGAGCGCTTCCCATGAGCAACTGGCGCCGATACATTACTTCGAATTTGAAAATCTGTCCGAGTTGCCTGGAAAAGAAATAGTCCCTCCCTCATATGAAGAGGCTGTGAACAATAACTTTTTAAAAACTGTACAAACTAACATAGCCATGGAAAAAGATGAACAAGAATTGAATTCGGCAAAAGACGTGAATTCCTTTCCTCCGACCCACCGGGAAAAATCGGAAAACCACTGATACAACCTTCAAAGTCGTGTGATCTCGAAACCCGAACAGCTTCCTCTTACTGACTTCCTATATGGGTACTTATCATTGTTTCAAGTAAAAAAGATTGTACTTGAGTGAGGACACAACTATCTAGTTAGAGAAGGTCGCATCATCATTCATTAAAATGAAATGCTGAAAGTGAGAACAACAACCTTTGGGGGATCGAAGGAATAATACCAAAACTTCCTTTAACAGTTTCGCATCAAGCGGAATTAGTATCAATGGTTATGAATCACGTTTAAATGTGTTTTTGTTGATGTGTTAGTGACCAGGAGAACTGAATTAAAAATGTAATCGATGCCGGATCAGTGACTCATCAGCTTCGGTGTTCACTGAACAAATGCGGAAGATGTCGTCCTAATAGACGTAATGAAACCCTCTGTGAGGTCTAAGGAAAAGTATCATAACTTCCTTGAGGAGTTTTCGCACCAAACGGAAATATCCCTAATGTTCATAAAACTCGGCCCTAGAAAGAGAAAAGTGAAACACCTTGGTGACCGAGAAAACCGAAAAACTGATGTTCAGTGACGTGTGAGCTTCGGTGTTTCACAGCGTGGAAAATATATATATATTTTTTTTTTTTTCGATAGACGTATTAAAACCATTCTCATTCTGTTAATGGCTTGTTGAGTAGGCTAGATATCTCGACCAACCAATCTCTGAAATTCAGTTTTAGCTAAGAAAAAATGGAAATTTAGATATATCAGTGGGATTCAAAGAGAAAAAAGGTTGGCTCTAGAAAAATTGTTATCGACCAATAAGCCAGTATCACCAGCTTCGGTGTTCACTGAACAAACGAGGAAGATATTGCCCTGAAGGAATAATACCAAAACTTCCTTTAACAGTTTCGCTTCAAGCGGAATTAGTATCAATGGTTATGAATCACGTTTAAATGTGTTTTTGTTAATGCGTTAGTGACCAGGAGAACTGAATTAAAAATGTAATCGATGCCGGATCATTGACTCATCAGCTTCGGTGTTCACTGAACAAATGCGGAAGATGTCGCCCTAATAGACGTAATGGAACCCCCTCTGCGGTTGAAGAAAAAGTACCATAGCTTCCTTGAAGAGTTTCGCACCAAACGGAATTATCCCTAATGTTCATACAACAACTTCGGTGTTGCACAGCGTGGAATATTCATTTACATATATATATATATATATATATATATATATATATAAATGAATGTGGGGGTAGAGTCTACCTTGGCATAAAGTGCTCAATGCTGTGGTAGCAGAGCTAAGTATACATAAGTTAAAGAATTAAAGAGGACGCATCGATTCTCTGTGACTCTGAGTTTCGCGCCTAAGCCGCTCGTCAGACAGAACTTTATTCAAGGAAGAACATACCTCCTTATATACAAATTAGATAAGTAGCTAAGTAAAACTTATTGCTGCCGCCACGAGAATAAGTTTTACTTAGCAAATTTCACAAGCCGCCAACAATAGCTTTATAGAATCTTTATTTCACAAGTAGATTAGATCATCACACTAGTGAATTAATTAGTTACTTATCTAATTTGTATATAAGAAGGTATGTTCTTCCTTGAATAAAGTTCTGTCTGACGAGTGCTTAGGCGCGAAACTCAGAGTCACAGAGAATCGATGCGTCCTCTTTAATTCTTTAACTTATATATATATATATATATGTGTGTATATATAAATATTTTAAGAGGTAAAAAGGACGCAACTACATTTTCCCGACAAGCCTGTTTCGTAAATCGCTTCACTCTTCAGGGGTTTAACAGGCTTGTCGGGAAAATGTAGTTGCGTCCTTTTTTCCTCTTAAAATATTTATTCCGCTCTGCTTCAACGTATTGAGCACTGTTCCACGCGAAAATCGACTTGCAGACTCCCTATATATGTATGTATGTATGTATTCGATAGACGTATTAAAACCACTCTCATTCTGTTAATGGCTTGTTGAGTGTATTCTCTGCAATTTTTGGCTCAAAAATGGAAATTAAGTTATATCAGTGAGACTCAAAGAGAAACACTTTGGCTCTAGAAAATTGTTACTGACCAGTAAGCCAGTATCATCAGTATCTCCGTATTATGTCTGTGGCGGATAGTGTCAGTTAAAAATAGACATGCTGGCGATAATAATCAGACCTTATATCCCACGTAAAACGTGAAAATATCAAAATATATGGATAAAACAGAGCTCTGAGTAAAGAAGACACTTCAAACGTGCACGTATACTTGTACTTAATCCGTCGAAAAGCAAGAGAGTTGCGAGTGACTCTTTTTGGAGCAAGAAAGGCGACAAACCGCATCAATTTCAATTAGTTCACCCAAGAAAGAACTGAGTGACATGAATTGACTGAAGGAAGCTTAAATGAAATGAAAAATGGCTAACGTAAATCATCATAAACTGAGGGCTTCAGGCCACGAAGTGTTATACGCTGTCAAGGATAAAATACCCACATTGTTTATCGGAAGTAAATGACAGAAATAGAACATACAGGTAACATCATGACAAACTCGAGTTAGTACATTTTAGGCGAATATTAAGCTCGTAGTGGCACTCGAAACTGAAGAGTTGTGCCGAGTAACCACGTTTTTTCAACCTACTGCATTCCAACTCAAGGCAGTATAAAAAAAATTTTTTTTAGTTTCCGTCCACCTAGGCAATGTATTAATCGAATTTAAGGCTGACATAGTCATTCTCCATCTGAGTACTGTGTCCGGTTACATCAGTACGTTCACATTACAAAACCTGAAACCTCTGAAAGTCAATTTAAGATCCAATATCATGAAGCCTTAAGTTATAAAAAGCAGAAACGACCTTGTATTTTGCAGGATAGGAATTCGTGTATTCATTGAAACATGTCTTAAAACGACGCAATATTTCCAACCATGAAGTACAACCTCTATGGTTATTTCCTTATGTGTCGCACCATTAAGACTCGCATTCTTTTCAAAAAATAGCAAATGATTAAGTCAATGATAGTCATGATTGCAACTTGAAAATTTTAAATGTATCTCTTTATTCCGGGTTAATAAAATAATAAAACTTAAAAGAGAAACGTAGATGTCTTCAACAAGAGATTATGATTTCGCGTGTTCCTCAATTGTTTCCTCCTTGTGAGGCACGAAGCTGTAATCACACGTAGCTCACAAGCTGGGTATCTATCGATTGTCACTCGCTTACTTTCCCTTGTGCCAATTTTTCATGTTATCAGCTGTTAGGGGAAATCAAATCACACTGTCGAGAGATTGTGCACCACAGTAAGAAGACGACCATTAAAAGTGTGGTCTCTTAAATATTCACGTGAACTTCTACTCTAAAAAAATAAAAATAAGACAAACATAGCATGGCACAATCTTTGCACATGGCAACTTCTCCCGAAGGATGTTAATATTTACCATGTAAGGTGAACCAAAAATGCAATTAACAAAATAATTGTTAAACTGCATGGATCAACAAAGGAACAAGAAGTTTATTCAAAACAAAGAAAAGTTTCCGTGGTATATGCTGTACACTGAAACAATACGAACATATGCGAATATTTGCTCGCAAAATCCCTTGCTTTTACATTTCAGCAAATATCCAACAAAAAGCTGCGTGAGCACATTGTTTGAGTCTTCATAAGGAATGTGACGAAATGGGGATCCATGCTTTAGAAGCACGTGATAAGAACAGGCATTAGCACACAAGGTGAAATCGATGATGTCAAAGATGGCGTCGCATATTTTGATGTCTTCTGTGTTCTATTACAGTTACTGAAAAGACGCATTGCATCATGAAATCTGCAACAAGAATCCTAATTTTGACGTAAACTATACAGCTGTCTCCAATATATCATGAGCAAGAACCAATCAAAATTCATGTATGAATAACAAATAAATTCCAGGTCGCCGTGCGTCTGTAAGAGTAAAGAATAAATTATATTATGAAACAGACGCACGGCAACATAGAACTTATTTGTTTTAAACGATTAACCCTTTACAACCTAAAATCAGTATACATATTCTCCATACTGCTCTTTAGACATTTCCTAAGGTGCTGACAAGGAGAATTTGTTTTTCAATAAAAGGCTTCCTTCGTTAGTGATCATTCTTCTATTTTCATGACCTTAACGAATGATTCAGGGGTGATTCTGTAGGGAGAAATTTGATGCTAATCACTCTAAGGGTTTAGAGGGTTAAAAAGCCAAATGTTGTTAAAAGGTCTAGATAGAAGCAGATATGTAACGAATTTAAGAAAATAAACGAGACCTATTAAATTTGAAAACATGTTTCGACAGTTTCTCTGTTATCTTCAGTTCTGAGTAAAACAAAGTGCAGAGTTGAATTTAGAGTGTGTAACAAAATGCTGATTGGACAAAACAAACAATAGTAACAGAACAGTGTATGCATTTACAAGGAAAGTTTTAAATTAACATGATAAATTGGTGATAAAGTGTAGGTTTCTCCCATTTAATGTGGATAGCTTCTTTGATTTTAGGTTGAAAAGTTGTGGAAGCGTGATCTAAGATGTTAAAACACTCATCAGAACAAAAAGTGCGACATTGTGGAGAATTAGGTAGATGTCTGAAAATGTGAGAGGTCCTATCGCTGACCAAGCGCTCACTTACGCGTGTGGATAAATGCCGAGAGGTTTCGCCGACATAGCAGGCATTACAGCTTGTAAACCACACACGTACGGAGCCCACGAGGGATACGGTCTTTCACACCAAACATATTGCCTAAAAAAACCAACTTAATATCGATGTTTTTACAATAACGCTTAGCAAATTGGCGAACCCAAATTTTGTTAATGCTGACGTCACCTATACGTCTGTCTTTCAATAGATCATATTTAAAACCAATCAAAAAGCGTGTATTATTCTGCTTATCATATAACATACTATAGAAATCTCAGCACATAATCTAATTTTTAAACAGAAGTTGTAATCGAATAATTTGTTATTCTATCCACGGTCTAACTCTAGCATCTTCGAGCACCAGTGCTTAATCACGAAGTTCTTGGCAAGCCAAGAAACTGCTCTGTAATGCCACTGGGATTATGTCACATGTTGTATATTTGCAAGAAAACTTTATAAAAATGAATTAACAAGACTGTGCGTTCGATATCAGATGTCTGCTTTACAACATTCAGTCCTCAATGGCATGTCCCCCTGTAAGCAATAAAGCAATGTTGCCATTGTGATCATCTTCTTAATATCAGTTGCATTCCATAAAAATTTTAGTCAGTCACGGATGGCATACACTTATTCTGTACTGCAACATACTATGGCAAAGGTTGCAAAGCTGTTAAACACAATCACAGGATGTGAACAAACACACCTTTCTTGTCTCAAGGGAGGGGAGGAGAGGACCCTAGAAACAAAGTAGCACAAAAACCAGTTCAATATTTTGTCTTGTCTACACAGTGTGTAGCTACACTGTAACTGATTTCTTTATTTATACATAGGCTACAATCATGCCTCTTGTTTTTGCCTCTAAGACAAAGTTCTACAGGGACAATTCTAGTTCTGATTCAAACTTCAGTCAAACCTGTACTAAGCAGTCTCCATGTACTAAGCGATCGATAATCCCCTAAATTACTGTAATTTTCACCTCCATTGGGAAGTCACCTCTATAAAGTAGTTGTGATCACCCTTGACTAAGTCCCAATGGCCTGTTGGTAATGTCTTTCACCTGTCTTGAACCGTCACTTTAAGTGGAACCACTCTATTAAAACTAAGAGTAATCCCTCAGATAAAATATAATCATGTTCATGTCCTGGAGTCAATGTCGGTACTTTGAGTTCAAATGTCCTCAATGCATTGCAGATTATCTTCCTCCTCTGCAGATTATCTTCCTCAACCTGGACTCAGTTAACTTCTATTAACCCTCTAACTCCCAGATGTGATTCACATGTATCTTCTCTCTACAATATCCTTCCACTATCCAACAAACAGGAAATGAGAGTTCATGAACATCACTTAAGTCATATGCTGGTCAACCTGTGCTACACTGTATATATACTTAAATGATATAGTTTATATATAACTTTTATGATATACAGATTACGGACATCAAATGATTAAAGGGCTAATGCTTTAAATTTTCAGCTTTTTTAAAATTTCTTTTGGTACTTAATCCATCTCGATAACCTTTTGCTTGATTATCAACTTGGGGTAAAAAAACCTTCCTCATCCAAAACTGTCCACATTACTTAACTTGTGCTTTAAAACAGTGATTACATTGAAAAAAACAAGATTCAGTTTCCTCTGAATACTATCCCCATCCATACCAAGACTCTTCTATTTTTATAGCCAATCTGAGATTTTAAAATTCTGCACAAAACACAGCCCTACACTTCATAGCTAATTAGTTTCCTCTTCTTTCACCAACCCCCTCCCCAGCCCCCCTACTCCAAGGGGTCTCACTCTAATAACATTGAATATTAATCATGTGTGGTCAACACAACAGTTCTCACCAATAAAAAACTTGAAATAAAAATTGTGCTCACCCTAACAACACTAAGTGTGATCAACACAACAGTTTGTAAATAATTCTTATATATAAAAGGGCAGATTATCATTGTGCATATTGATGCTTAAATAATGCTAATGAGTAAACCACTTTTACTCATTATAGTATCAAGCATACTTTCTCACAATGTGGGATTACATTTAAATGAAAACATCAAAAATTCTGAATCAATACTCCAGTCTTGATTAACAAATTGTTTACCTTGGAATAAATATGCAGTCATGTAAGCAGTAACAAACAAAAATTGCAATAACCATAGCTTAATAGTGCATTTTACAGTTGTGTGCTTGTTTGCCAGGTCTTTGAACAGGAGTGAGGCTAAGGCTGACCTTGTTATGATACAAACCTTGCTGCTTTTCAAATGCAAATTACTTTGTTATCATGCTAACTAGTTACTGGTCTCTATCACAACAAGGTCACCGTCAGCCTCACTTCAAATCAAAGGCTGGGCAACTAAGTACACAACTGTAAAATGGCCTAATCTGGTTTGGCTCACTTAGTTTTCAAACCCATATCTTTTTATATGCTAATAATACCATGTGTCCTCCTAAACTAGATTTGGTTTCAAAGATTGTGCCTCTACAAAGATAGAACTGGGAAATTCCCCCAGACCATCTTTGCATTATTATCACATCACATGTGTTACTCCAAGTCTCTGGATTCATCCTCCCTCTGTTAAATAGAAAAAAAAGATTAAATAAATATCTGGGTATTCAATTAAATCTTGCTTGACTCAGCTTGTGGGGGACAAGGCTGCTAAGGACCTAGGGCCTTAGAACAAGAAAGCATGCATTCAACCATTGGTTTGGTCATGTATCTAGACATTACGTAATGGGTTTACTTTCACACCGCCCCTCTCTGCCCAAAATAATAAATCGTTAACTATCATCTACCAGGGGAACCAAACAAAATCCGTGTGGATTAGCTGTGATGGACGAGCATCACATCCTAGGGGAGCAGACATACTTTTAATCACCTCTTGCTGAAAGATACTACCAATATGGGCTACCAACTATAGGCCACTTGGCTTCTAAAATTTATTATTAACTAGAAGTTTTTCCATTGTGGAAAAAGGAAAATGAAAAAAAACAAAGTATTGGAAAAAATGCCACGTTTGTTATCATCATGCAAAGAATCTACTGTGTGTGAAGTGTGTAAAGCACACATGGCTGTTAAAACATCTTACAGCTCAAAAGAAAAACACAACCTAAAAACTTCAAACAATCACGTCTAATAAACTGAATCAGTTTCTTTCTAGCCTCACTATTTGTACAAATAAGGAAAACTTTCAGATACATGCTAACATTTTACATTATCTGGGAGCCTCAGGGAAGGAATAGCCCCATCTCCTCTACAGCTTGCAAAATCTCAAGGATAAAAGAGATGTTGGATAATTCTTTCCTATTTAACAAATAGATTCCACATAGCCATGCTTCTGTTCAGTTATAGCTCACAAATTATGTCAAAATGTGATAAGAACAAAAAAGGTGGCATACAAGGTGCAGCCAGGAGTGTCACTAAATAATGTTCTTAAATAAATTTTATGCCATCTGTGATTACTACTGAACAAACGCACAGCAACATCGAATCTATTTGTTTTATACAACAAAGAAACGTCTGTCCTCCAATATCATAAAGTGTAAGCTATCAATATGTGTGCATTGTTCAGCTTATAATAAAGGAAGGAGGTCAAGAACAGTCATTTCCATAATATATGTATCATTGACCAAGCATGAGATCAAAATGGCTGGATATTAGCCAAGTCCTTTTAAGCCTTTTGATGAACCGAGATATAGTTGAGGTCCATAAAAATGAAAACAAAAAACAAACAAAAAAAAAAAACAGAAAAGAAATAGCCATATTGAACAAACAGGTTTGGTCAAAAAAGAATTATTGTATAGCAAAAAGATTTTTTTCTATTAAGAACTATTTGAAGCCAACTGTTTTTGTAGCATAAGAAACCACTGACAGTTGTTCATGTTTTCTTCATTTTGACTGTTTTCAACCGCTTTCAGTTACTCCATTGCCAACACTGTCCAAAACTAATGAACATTTTTCGTACATTCACTCCAAGCAATTTTTTTCTTACGCAGGACCAAAGTAGGTAATCCCAAGCAGGCAAGATGGGCCCATCTTACCCACTCGGGCAGCCAAACAGAACTCAGGACTTGCTTCATATTACCCATGGGCACTGCCAGCAGTATAATAAAAGCATATAAAGCATTTTCTGTTCTAGAATAGTAATAACATTAGTAAATTTATCTTTAAATCTTTTTTTTTTTTTACTTTTGAGTTATGTTTTCTTTTTTTCTTCTTCTAGGATGAAGTGGTCAGTGTATCATGTGGTGAATAAACACATCATACTTCTCGTAAAGATTTAGAAATTAAAGGAGTTTTTAACTTGAAACTAACCTCAGAGCTATCTAACCCACTTTCTCCATGGGAGGGGCAGTTGGAGTTACACTTTGGTCTGTAACACTTTGGTCTGTAGCACTTTCATACGACGGTGGAGGAGGCATATCTGTCGAAGGGTATGGTGAGTAATCATGTCCACTTTGAGGAGGGTAAGGGTGCTGTGTTTGAGGAGGGAAAGGGTGTTGTGTTACAGGAGGATACACTTGTCCTGTCGGATACTGTGGATATGTTCCCGCAGTGGGCGGAGGTGGGTTGTTCGGGTAAGGTCCCGGTTGATATCCGTATGACGGCCCATAAGGTTGTTGAGGTCCAAAAGTGTTGCCTGAAGGGTACTGAGAAGTTGATACCGCTCCAGGACCCGGTTGACTTGTAGAGACAGTTTGAGTAGAAGGCGGTCCGGTTATAACTTGCCCTTGATTTGCTTTGTTTTGGACTTGGCAATAACAGATCGAAATGACGAGCAAAACGCCTCCGATCGCAAGGAATATTGGTCCGACGATTCGACAATTCTTTAAATTTCGTTCTGTTTCCAGTCTGTCCTCGCGGCAAAAGTCGCACCAATCATCTTCTGGGCCCCAAAATGGTTCGGCAAGGTGACCCACCATGGTCAAAATGAAACCAATAAGTAAACACATGATAGTGAAAAAAATTAGAAGACATTTAGTGCAGCTTGGACCACTACAACGCTGAGCTGGCCTTTGATAAATGACCACTCGATTCATTTTAGATTGCCGATGTGGATACACGAATTTAATCCTCACTCTAAGCAAGCAGATTTAATCTGTTCCGGAGTGCTTCGGTGGAAAAAATCGTAAATAATGGTTTGCCTATAAAGTTGGAAACGAGGCTTGTGTCAATCTCCGAGACGAGGCTGTTACGTAACCAGGCCAACGTCATGACCCCCGTCCGGCCTAAGTGGAAGGCCGGACGGGGGTCATGTCGCAAGAACCGAGAGTTGCACTTACGAGTCTTACAGGGTTCGAGAGTCATGAACGAGAGACAAATGTTTTCCTTTCCAACCCACCAAACTCAGTCGCGTATAACTGAAGAATTTGCTCCTTAGGGTAGAAGAAGAGAAATGGCTGGAATCACTGGCACGCTGTAACAATATCTAAAAATCTTAGAAGCGCCGTGATACTTTAATTTGTGAAAAGATTAATTTTTATTGAGTACAAGGGTTACCAAACAGGATCAACTGGCTGCTCTCGAAGCTACGTTTCTTACGTCTTGACAGAAATACTTCATGTCTAAAAAGGATATAAATATACTCTTGTCTCGCATACGAATGTCGAAAAGGTAACCATACTCAGCCAAGACTGGGTTCTCATTCTAGGCAATGTTTCGAAACTATGTCTTGATCAAAGAACAGAAAGAACTCATGGAGGTTAGCTAGGATATAGTCTTTCCATTCCTCTGTTAATTTTGATTTTCCTCCTTAAGGTGAATTGCAGATCATATCTAAGAGAGCAGTTCGTGTTGATCTAAGATTTTCAACTAACCCATTTCCTCAACAGGAGGTGGACTTGGAGTTGCGCTTGCAGAAATGTTAACTTCGCTTTGGTAAACAATACTGTCGTAGGATGGTGGAGGTTCTCCTAGATATACAGGTAGTTGGTTATTCAGAGGACACGATCCCGCCGTGGGCGATTGCGGGTTGTCCGGAATTTGTACGCGTTGTTGCGTGAGCAATTGACTTGAGGTTGTTGATGCATGACCAGCAGTGCCTGTCGTCGTGGCTGATTTTGTCATGAATTCTGTTTGACTTGTGTAAAGCATGGCGGGTGCACTTGGCACCCCAGTCACATAAAAAACTTGGCTTTCAGTTCTTCCTTGAACATTTCTTCCCGTTATGACGTAGTAGCAAATCCAACATGAGACACTGAGTAGCAAAAGTCCCGCGAAAATGAGAGGCACTCCGACATACCAAACAGCCGCACACAGAAAGGCACCAACAACTATACAACAGATTGCGCACGAAATATTCAGGAACTGAAAAACACAATTCCAGACATATATGAAGCAGCCAAAGTTTTGATGCGGAGAGGTTACTGGTCTCGTATACTGAATCACAACTCGTTGGGGCTGCTGGCTGTTCATGCCATTCATTTTCCTGATTTAAATGATCGGCGATGTTCCTTAATGAAAAATGTACACACCATAAGCGAAAGAATCTCCAAGGATAAATGAAGGTAAATTATATCTGTGCGAACTAGCGCAGCTGCGATGCACAACCTTTTACCTTTGAATACCGACCACTAAGCCAGTCGTTTCCGGCATCCTGCTGAGCGAGATTTAAAGCTTCTGGAAAATAAGACAAAAAGAGGGGTAACGCCTAGAATGTTCTGAAACATTTCGATTGGTCCATAGCTTGTCAATAAAAAAAAGTGACACCGTCATCCACACAAACTCTACAGTTGCGTGATTAAGGCCTCAGATTTTAGCATTTTAAACAGTTAATTAAAAGTTTTCCATGAGGCGTTCTGCAAGAACGAAGTTGAATAGTAATCAACAAGTTAAACATAACCACAACTCACAAAATTTTTTTAAGGAATTGATGTGAAAACATATTCAAATCGCAATCATGTCACACTTTGGAGGAACATTAAACCTTTTTCCATGCGCTCATGATAGTTGTTCCTAATGAATTTATTATGAAAGCTGTACTAAACCGTTTACTGATCACTTCCCATATCAAGTAATTTATTCATCAGGTGTAACTTTACAAAGCACATTAAGAACAAAACCATTTGCAAAAATAGTAAAAACCAATTGTGCTCAACCGTTTCCTGCTTTAAATATGTTTCGAAGTCTTCCTGAAATGAAATCATTTTTATTATCAACATTCACTGAATCGTTCAAATGGTTCATTTAGTACCTGACACGTGTCAAGAAGTGTGACGGAGTGATACTGATTAAAGCAGCGCTTGATTAACTTATTCATAGAGCGCTGGACTGCCGTGCGGAAGGTCGAGGTTCAAGCCCCAGATATGATCAACACTCAGGGTCTTAAATTAATTGAGGAAAATGTGCTGCCTAAGCTATGACATCTGAAAACGGTTTTACATTCTGGTGATCTCGGATAAGGACGATAAACCTTAAGCCCCGTCTCCTGCATCTTCTCTCCTGTACTGGTTCGCAAGGGACGTTAAGGAACCCGCGCACTTTTCGCAAAAAGTAGGGGGTGTGGCTCCTGGTTTTGTGGACTGGCCCTGTTTGACACCCTGCTCACCTCAATCCATCCTCGTATCCAGTCTTCTCTTCTAACACAATACGTAAATAGCGACAAGGGTACGAGTCCGGAAAAAGGTACGACACTATAAACACAGGATTGCCTCTGTCACTGCCACTTTGTTTTAAAACGCTATAGCGTTATACGGTGATCGTTCTCAAAACAGCCCGCCTAGATTCCTTGGAATAACTCCTTATAACCGGTTTCCAAACTTTGTTACTTATGGAAGTGCTTCGCGTTAACGAGAAAAATCTTTCCGGTCACCACATCTCCTTACGTCATCTATGATCACAAAGCATGTCTCTCAGGAAAAGTTCAAATTAATACAATTACGCCCATCACAATGTTTGATTTGGAGTTTTTACAATACGCCAAATCCTCTTTTAGAGTTTTGACTTTCTTCCAAAAAATTCAAAGCTCTTCAGAAGCCCTTTACCGGTTAAAATTTCACTTTGAAGGCCACTAATGATGTCACTATAGAAATCTGATTTTAAATGCATAACACTATTTCTGTTCAAGTTATTATTGCCTACAGCCGCCTTTCCCATCCGTATGGCTGTATCTAGAAGTTTTTCAATATCACAGATTTCATGGACAATCCCACCAGCCAGAGCCTCCTCTGCTTCAAACCGTCGTCCCATGAATACAGCATCTGCAATTACTTTGGGGTCCTTTATCTTCCCTCTGGTACATGTGAAGAAGTAAAAGGATGCCATGAACTAAGAAATGCTTGCAAAAGGTGTGGTGAAATTGGGGAGGACTCCATAGGGATGAAAGTGTGGGATAGTATATGCTAGGAGTTATTCAATATTTATGAGACCATAGGAAAAATCCATGGGGGGGGGGGGGAAAGGAGGGAGGGGATGAGATTCATATGAGGAAGGAACTCATACTGGGGGGAAAATCCTGTATTTTCAAAGGGGAGAGGGGGGAAGTGAGGGGAATCTCACTGAAAGTGATATTAGGAATCCCATTTGAAATTGGGAAGGATACCCAGACCAGTCCAAAAATCCCATAATTACCAAGGTGGGAAAGGGGGTGATTTCATTTGAAAAAAAAAAAAAAACTTTTGACATCTTTATTACCTTAGCATGCTAGTCATAGATGGATAAGGCATCACCTGAAGAGTTCAGGATTTGTTCACAGCCATTAAGACAGGGAATATTTAGTATCCCAAGAACTAATACTTTGAATCATTGTTACTTTAAGCTGTCTTGGGTATCTTTAAGGGGTAAAAACAGCTCAGATTGGTTAATTCCCTCAATAAGGGAGGCCAAATCAAACTAGAAGACAAGCATAATTACCTCATCAACAGGTTATTTCCAATACCAAAACGCATGCCATACTTGACCTCTGGAAAGCTAAACCAACCTTTCTTGGTTCTCATAACTCTGTAGTCATGTGCAAGGGCTAATAGTGCTCCACCAGCAAAGGTATGTCCTATAGTACACAACAGAGAAGGAAAACAACTAACTTAAACATGGCTTGTAAGTCTAATGCAAGTGAGCTGGAATTTGTCAACATCTGTCCAATGATCAGGCTACTCAGTGGACTAGCTATCATGATTTTCATCCATGAAACGACTCAGTTAAACTTGGTTCACACCAGTGACACAAGAACATGAATGAAAACTAAAAAGAAAACTGTAGGAACATCAATATATTGTTATATTGTGTTGTGAACATGGAGAAAATGATACTGATATTAACCCACATTTAACATCTAAAATCTATACATTAATTATCTCCACCACCTTGCAAACATTTCTTGTAAACCAACTTTGAGAATTTGTATAAAATAAAATAAAATTATATCCTTAGTTGATGGTTTTTTTTCTAACAACCTTTAGGCTTTCAATAGTATTGATAAGCTGCAATCAAACTTGAAACCAAATGAAACCAAGAAAAAAAAATTGAATAACATAACCTCCTTGTACCATTAAGGAGTCCACACAGAGTATAAGAAGTCTAATTGGCAATACTCTACCATTTAATGCAGCCACTGTTAACATGGGAAATGATAATAATCTTGCCAAGACTTTATGAAGCAAAGATGTGGTTTCTATGAACTCCTCTGGAGTACATGTCGCAAGGAATTCTTGATCTAGCCCATTTGAGTAAAATTTTTTATCTCCAGTGGTGATCAGAAATTTAACCTTTTCATTCCTGAAAACGAAAATTCAATATGGAGGACTATGTTTGAAACAAGCTAAAGGGACCATTCATAATGATCATGATAAAATGACTGTAGACATATTTCTGTAAGAGCAAGGTGACTTTGTTTCGAGATGAGATCGCTCATCTTGGGGCAGAGGGGGGTGAGTGACGTGACCTTCATTCGGATCACTCACTCACCCAAGGCAGTTATGCAAACATCTTAAAAAGATTTAGATATCAAATATACTTCGTTGTGTTGGCTCAGCAGGTAAAATTGCACTTAAACAGCCTATTTTTTCTCAAGATGTTCCAATAAACACGCATAGCTCATCATTCTGGAGAAATTAACCTTCGCTGTAACGTTCCTGTTCAGGTTAACACTAACAGGGCTCTGAAGTCTTCAAACAATTACGCAGCTTATAAATACCTTTCGATCTCATCCAGAGCAGCATAGAATTCTTTAAAAAATTCTAAATTTAATCGGTTTTCTCCATTTTTCATGGAAAGAATTGCATAATTGTCCACGAAAGAAACCTCGACCTTCCCACTCCCTGCCATATTCGATTCATTGCATTCAGCTGAGCATTGTATTTGTCCCAGTCTCTCTCGTACAACCGAAAAAACAAAATGGCGACGAATTCAGGGTACGGAAGGTAAAACGATTCGTGTGTTATTTTAACACAATCTCATTCCGGACAGAACACTCATGTCAGGGAAATCATTCGATGTTCATTATGCATCATCTAGCTACTCTGCTACGGTATGTGTTGTAAAATGCAAAGGAAATCGAGACATTTAAATCAACTAGAGACGTGTTTCTCTCAGAGTAGGTCTTTAGACTGATGTTGCTCTAAGATTGTGGGGTAATATGAGCTGCTTTCATATAAGCACCTTTATTTCCCATCTGTGCTAGCTAGTATAATACGACAGGAATGTTTGGTTAAAGAGCTTTACAAAAAAAGGACGCCTGCTGAATGATTAACCCTTTAACTCCCATGAGTGACCAAGACAGAATTTCTCCTTACAATATCGATACAGTATCAATCAGATAAGTGATGAGAATAAAGAAAAATATCAATTTGGGGATAATTAGTTTATCTAATACTAAATTCTCTGAACTAACATCAAAAGAATTGTATGGTTGACAGTAAGGAGAATTACAAATTTAATCTGGGAGTTAAAAGGGTTAAAGGCTTCTAAAGGGTTCACACCTTTGCCTCCTACATACTAATAGTTGGTTGCCATTTCCAATGTACTGAGCTGTGATACCACTTGTTGGGAGTGTAGCCAATTTTAGCAAGTATTTTTTTTCCAAAATGGTCTTTTTTCACTGGAGCTTATTTTTGGGAAAAGATGATGTAGAAAAATTTACTGCGAATTGTGTTGAATTTCTGGTTTGTCCAAAATTTTAGAGCTTAAACTTGGGCTAGAGTTCCTGAACTGATTCTGCTGTAGTTGAAGCTTAAAGAGTGGCAATAGAAACAGGTTTTCCTTGTATCCCTACTATTTAAGAACGTAAGGGAGGGGGGGGGGGGGAAGCGCTCATTCCCGGGTGGGTACTTATTCCAGGAGGCTGCTTATTAGAGTGTGGGCACTTATTCAAGGAAATGCAATACTTGAATATTTTTGTAAAGACACTATCAGTTCTAAGAAGCCAATAGTTGTGCAAGAACAAAGGAAAACTGTCAGCATCTAGGCATATTTTTTGGCTAAACAAAGGTTATCATGGTTATTACCCCCTAAGGGGAAATCACATGATATTCCTCAGTTTTGGCAGGGGCACATTGGGCTATGTGGTTTATAACATAAACACGAATATCTATTGATTTCAGGTTGCCACTATTTTCCTGTTCAACCTCCTTGTTGGTGTGGGAATTCTTGCCCTTCCATCTGCTATTGCAAAAGCTGGAATTTTTGCAGGTGTTCTTTGTCTCATCACTGTGTCTTTCATGGCATTTATTAGTGTAACCTTCATGATTGAAGTACTAGCAACTGCTAATGCTTGGCGAAGAACAAAATCAGTTTGTAGAAAAGGCAGTGTGAAAGGAGGCCTGCTTCAAAATGAAAGTATGGAAGAAAAAAGTCAAATCAAGGTCAAGACTGATGTAATATCTCCTCCATTGTTTGAAATTGAAGAGAAATTTGAGATGGGCTATTTGTCAGAGATATTTCTTGGAAGTGTGGGATCTACATTCTTCTATGCAGTTCTTTGTTTGTATTTATATGGGGTGAGTGCCTTCTTAACCATTTATCTTGATCTAAAACCAAATTTCCATAACTAATTTACAAGGAAATCTGTAGCAGCTAGAGGGGAGAATTACCATCAATCAGATCTTGGGAGTTTAAAGGTTCACAAATGACTACACAATTTTTGCAGCAATACTCTGAGAATTCTGATTTGCATCTAATATTTTTTTTTAACTGATGGATGATAGGTCATTCTTGCAGCCCTAATGAATGCAAAGCTTATCAAACCTTGATATTTATCTGCTCATGAACATAAAATAATACCGTGTCAAGCAAACAGTTATAAGGGTTGAACGTAATTTCAATGAGGGAATTGTCTTGATATGAATCAACACCAAATGGTTCTGTCACCAATTGGGAGAGCTCTAGGATACTTCCAGTGAAGGTACCAACAACTCGCTGGGGAGGTTTGGAAGGCATCTGCATAACTTGACAATTAATGTTGCTACATGTGTTAAACACCACAGTTAAACATTTGACTCTCAATAGTGGCGAGCATCTAATATTTCCTCGTTATATCACCCCTGAATCAAACAGTAAAGTATGAGAATAATAGAAATGATCACTCTCAAAGAAGCTGCTAATTTATAAACAAATTCTCCTTGTCAGCACCTTAGGAAATGTATAGAACAGTATGGAGAATATGTAAAGTGATGATAGGGTGTTAAGGGTTAAAAGAAGCCTTTGTTAATAATTGTCATGATAATTGTGCTGAAATCAAATGAAAGGCTCAGAGCAAGAACGACCCCTTGATTTTTCGGCCATTTTTGAAAGTGTTCAGAAGTAGTTGAATTTTGGCATGTGGACTTAGTTTTACTCGATATACACTGTTTTGGTTTTTTTTTTCGCTGGTTTGCGCTTCGTTTTCGAGAAATAAAGTATGCAAAAAACCTTGAATTTCGTAGCGGCTTTCATTGAATGAAGCCGAAACAAAAGAAGCCTTTTGTTTCATCAAAACAATACAGCCCCCGAGAACTTGCATATTCATAACCAGCTTAAAGAAAGAGCATGTTTTTTGTTTTGAGTTTAAAACACTGTTTAGCAAATTACCTTAAATTTTGATTTGATTAAATTTCCTTTTTTCAGGATCTTGCAATTTATGCAGTATCAGTTGCTACAACATTGGAGCAAGCTGTTGGTACCAGCCATCAAATATCTTATTATTCTTTCCTCTGGGGTTTTATCATGTTCATTGGACCATTTTGTTTCTTCAATTTCCAAAAAACTACATATCTTCAAATGTTTACAATGGTAATGAGGAACTCTGCTATGGTGTTAATGATTGTGCTGACACTACTGGACATTGCAAATGGACACAGAGTACCAACAGACCAGCTGATATTATGGGATACAGATAAGGCTAAGGAGGTCTTACAGTTTTTGTACTTATCTTTGTTTGCTGTGTATCATGTGCTGTATGAATGATGATGAAATAAGTTGATATTCAATTACACAGTATAATATTTCCCAAACTTTTGATTCATGCTATCTTTGCAGCTCTCTAAGTGCTGTCCTTAACAATTTGTCATACCTGAGAACATCAGATAACACATCACTTCAGTTGGGGTTTGACCCTGGATATTTTGATCCAGAATCTAGCTTTGTAACCACTAAACCATAATTACTGCTATGACCCCTACTGAAGTTAAAGCCCAGTACATTTGTTATTTAAATATGTACTGATCTTTTTCTACTATTAGAGACCACATCCATTTAAACCTTTAATTCCCAAGATTTGATTGTTAATTCTCCCCTCTAGCTGCTTTTAAATTTCCTTGTAAATTAGTTACAAGAATTTGGTGTTAGATCAAGAAAAGCAACTTTTACCCGATAAGTCTAAAAATTCTTATTACCTTTTTGATTGATAATGTATGGATGTGAAAAGGGAGAAGTTACATTTAAATTACTCCTGGGAGTTAAAGGGTTAAGTGGCCCTGAGGTGATTTTGCGAACCTAAATGTCTCAGATTTGCATAACGTTTTTTAATTTCTCCCAACTACCCTTGTGGTTAGATGAGGCTACATGGAAAAAGCTTAAATGATGATTTGCAGCAAACTGATTTTAATGACCTTCCTGAGAGCAAAACTTTTGCTCTGGTGAAGGGCTGACACTGAACATTTCAGCTATGAAACTCCTTATGGTGGCCAATTTCCATCATCAACTCAACTGATGAAACCAAATTACCTTGTTATATTCCCCCACTGGTGCAGCACCACAGTTTCTATAGAAACTTATACCCTTTACTGATTTGAATGACCACTTTCCAGTTCCTCAAGGGTCAGACTGTATAGAAGGGTTTAACTGTGTTTTCCTATATTGCAAGATATGAGATTATTTGAAGTTTAATATTTCATTGCAGCTCTTAGGCATGGCAGTGTTTGCATTCATGTGTCATCACAGTGTTCCATCCATCATTCTTCCTCTGGCTGACAAAAGAAAAACTCTGCAAGTTGTTTTGGTGGACTATGTGATAGTTCTTCTCTACTGTGGCATCATTGTTTTCTCTGCAGTCTTAAATAAACCAGCATCAGCCATCCTTCCACTTTATACATTAAACTTTAGTGACCACTCTGTTACTGTCTTGGCAAAGTTTCTCAGCCTTTATCCTGTATTTACACTGAGTAGCAACTTTCCTCTGATCTGTATAACTTTGAGGAATAATTTGATGGCACTATTTCCAGTTTCAAAGGTAATGCACTAATTAAATCAAAGCTTCAAAACCTCTTTCTCCCTCTCCATATTAACATATTAACTGACTTTAGAAGCTATTGAAACAAATGGTATGATCAAAATGCTTTTAAGAGTGATAAAAATTTTAGATATTGGGAGATAGGTTTGAGGAGGATTTCCTGTACTTTTTATTTGTTTTACCGTAATATTGATAACTTTAATGTTAATGATTAAAATCTAACACATTATAGGAATAATTAACACATTCTGCTTGAGTAATTTGATCTCTCATTTGTTATGACAGTGGCAATAAATAATGATGAGAATGATGGTCATTTATGGAAGATATCCAATGAATTTAGCAAAATTGGGCCTGTTTGAATGACACTTTATTTTGGAAAACATTCTCTGAAAATTAAAGAATCAAGAACATTTGAAAGTTCAGTCTGGTACACTAGCTAGATATGCATTTAAAAATGAATTATTTTCTTCTTCCCTGGTATTTAATTGTAATAAATTGTGCATCTTTTTTTCAGAGCTTAATATTTAGCCAGCAGATCTTCACACTTGTGGCCCTTATGCCACCTGTTGTTATTGCAGTGTTTACACATGATGTTGGTCAGCTTGTTGCACTTACAGTAAGTGTCCATCGCTGTGTCCTTTCAGTTTGGTTGTTTTTAGATTTATATTTAGGTTACTGGTAGGTCTTGAAGGGTATTATTCCTAGAAACCCAAATTTGTAAAATTAATTTTAAGTGTATTTACAGCTTTCAGGGTTTTTTTATGGTGTTTGAATGGTGCTAAATTTGAAATTCCTTCAAATTTGCCTCATCCATGAAAGTTAACCACTTGCTTGAAGATTTTTAACCTATTTTCTCTTCAGGAAGTTTAGCTTGAAATTTTTTGACCTTCTAATAAGGATAAGAGAGCTTAAATCTGCCAACAAGTTTTGTTAAGTTTTTTTTCTGTTGTATGAATCAACTAGGATATCACTTCAATCTGTTGTGGAATATTTTTTTGACATTACATTTCTCATTTTTCAGGGCTCCTTTGCAGGGTTAGCTATCATGTTTGTGACTCCAGGTCTTCTTGCTTTGTACTCAAGGAACAAGCTGGATAAATCTGTTCCCCATTGGAGGCAAATGCACCACCACAAGTCTCCATTTCAAAGTAATGCGTGGGTCTACCTGACTTTGGCATTTGCTGCCTTTGTGCTGATGACAAGAATATTTTGAATACAGCAAGTTCTTAGTTTTATTAAAATTGATGAAACCATGTAGCAGAATGAATTCATATATAGTATTTCAAGGAAAATCATGTGGCAAAAGCAAGCTTTAAATATGGAATATTTTTCTCTTGCAAATAGAAGATGAGATATAATGATAACCTCTTAACTTATATTTGCAACAAAAAAGCGACAGAAATAACAACAAAATACATTAAACCAAACAAGCTTCAAAGAGAGTATATTATAACAGGAAATATGAGTTATTTAATAAAAGTATTTAAGACAGAAACTGTCAATTGCAATTGTGACAATTAAAGACAGAAATTGAAATTGTATCCTTTTTGTATCCCAGACAGTATGAGAACAATGACATCATGTAAAGATTTTAAGACAGCCATAAAGAAAAAGAAAATGAACTTTTAGTGGTAGTTTTAATGTATTTTAATGATTTAATTGATTTAAATATTTTTCTTTCTCGAAGATATTAGCTCAACAGAGCTACTCTGATAATTTGAGTTGAAATAAAGTGTATGTATGTATGTATGTAAGACTTATATTTGATGTCCACAGTTCGTAAGCTGTTCAAGTTGTGTATTGCCTGTGACGCTATGGCACTTTTTAAACGTACCCCACTAAAGTTTCTTTCTGTGTTCCTAGAGAGGCTGATTCCAAGTTAAACAATACAACTGGTTCATATTTTCAGATAATCCTTATCCTCATAGGCTTTGCTATTCTAAGCTCAAAGTTGTGAGAGTAAAAGGCTGTTATTGGCGGTCATCTTACAGCCTTGCTTCCTTACACTGAGACAAGCGATCAGAGCGGAAAAAACTCTACAAATAGTTCTTTATCTAATGAGGAACACGCAGAGGGTAGTTCCATACTTGGCCCAGTTTTATTTCAGGTGGGAATGCAGATTTACTTCATCGCTCCTTGTACTATTTCGTCGGGGATTATGTTGGTAAGTCGTTTTCGAATACACTAAATGAAAGGAGATTGAATTTAAGGTCGAATAGGAAATATTTTCTCTCAAGATTGGCTTGATCTCTGTTCAGATCAGATCCTGCCACATTAAAATGTATCAAACTGTAGAATCGACTAAAGCACAAACTCAAAACAAGATACGTAATTTTAGAGGAAAAATGATAATTTCTCAAAGGTTTCAAAATACATGATGAGCGCGTGATTTGTCAACTGTTCTGTCTCTTGATCGTTCAAAAAAGGGTCATCACGCCACTGGTTGGCGTTTTCAGAGACAGCAACATACAGTGCTTCACAACCCGAGTGGAATACACAAATAGAGTAAATTTTTCTTGTCTGTTTTATTTCTTATATCGTGATGTGTAAGCAGTCAGCTGATCAGTTCAGTTCGAGAGTTTTCCCGCCAAAATTCCCAGAACTAGCGTGACTGTCCCTCGGATCCAGTCTGTTTTCATTGTCAATTCCTTCGAAATCAGTGGGGAACCTAGCATCCTTAAATCCAAAAACGATAAAAATGTTTGGTCTAATATACATGTTAATCCCAAATTAAAATCAGTGAAAGTAATTAAGGTGAGTTTGTTCGAACTAAAAACGAAAAAACAAACAAATTGATAACAACGCATATGTGAAAAAAAAAAATATATATATATATATACATATATATCTTGTTAGATGTTTTAGTGCGTAGTATCGCTGAGTATTTTTACGAGTTGTGCCGTATTTTGAAGAGCCCGTGAGGAGAGTTAAAATACAAACAACGTTAAACAGGTTAAACAGGTTTTTTTAAAGTACAAAATAACCAACTGTCCAAAGAACCGTACAATATCATAGGATATTTGTACTCTATTTGCGCGTTATTTGTACTCTACTTTGTGCAGTTGAATAATAAATAACCTTTCTAGAATTACGACCCGATCACGCTCTTCAAGCTTGTATCAGTATTACAGGGAGTAGCCATATTTGACCAGAATTATCCCTGAGGGGCACAAGACAACAGAGAGTATTAAGCAAAATCCCCTCTCCCCCCCTAGGCGAGATACTAGTTCATTAATTAGGGATTACCCCGAGTGCTACATAACGTTCCCTCACATTTAAAAAAGTACCCATGAATTTATCATCTTTTATGGAAAGAGGTGCTGTGAGAGTGAAAAGGCTTCAATAAAAACATAACATGATTATCACAGCCAGAACTCAAACCCAGGCTAATTAATCTGAATTCTAGTGAACTTTGGATACTTCTTGTTTTGTTTTTGTTTTCTTTGAAACAACAGACAGCTCAAGCTGGGGGTGCCATAGCATTGTCTGTACTGCTCACAGTGTTTTGTAATTTGGCAGCTGTATTCACTGTGCCTCCTCTTGTGGCTTGGATAATAAATTTTGAGAATGTCCGGCTGGATCCTGTTAAACTTTTGATTAAGTTGGTGCTGACTGTTCTTCTTCCATTATTGGTATGTACAATCAGAATAATTGTAATTTGGTGTGAGGAGAATAAGTATCAATATACATTAAATACTATTTTGACTCATTCAAGATTTTAAAGTTAATTGAGTTGTTATTTATATGTATTGGATGTTTAAAAATTAGGCACTGCACACGATATCTTACTTCATGGTTCTTAAATCAAACATTTACTCAGTCATTTCATCATATTGCCGTAATGTTAAGAGATTATGACAAGGCAAGTTGTCCAGAGTAGGTTGAGGAATGCCTTTTCAATGTTATGCTGAATAAGTTTTTGTAATATTGATTATTTAACATATACCTAGTTCACTATTTATAAGTTTATTAACCAGGGAGTGCACTTAAATTATAGCTTAGCTAAACTTAATCTTTGACGACATGAATTTTATAGGTTGGCAAAGGACTGAGTTACATAACACGCGTGAAGACATTTGTCACGAAATACTCCAACACACTGAAAGCCGTAAGCATCATACTGTTAGCAATGATTCCATGGTTAAAGGTCAGCCGAGCAAGTGTTCAAAAAGCCTTCAGTATGATCTCTATTTGGAGTATTTTTGCTGTACTTGGATGGGGCTTAGCAATGCACTTACTCTTCATTATTGTTATTCTTCTTCCATGTTTTGCCTTGAAACTGGAAAAATCTGCTTTGAAGTCAGTTGTCATCCTGGCTAGTCAAAAAACTCTGGCCATTGCCGTAACAATATGTGGTTATCTTCCATTTACACAAGCTGAGCAAGGCCTTATAAGCTTCCCTCTAATTATTATTCACATTGGAATCCTAGTGTCTGATTCAGTGTGGGCATCCTGGTGGTTTGCACGGGATGCAAAAAACGAAAAAGAGAAAATTGAGAAAGCTGAAAAAATTTTGCGAAATGATAACACTGATAATTCATTTCAAATATCACATGATCATTCATGAGGAAATTATGCTTGGCATAGCATGATTGTGCGAATTAGCTAACATTAACGGGCCTCTCTGCAAGTATATATATTTTTGTATACTTATTATTTTTATTCAATGTTCTGCTGAATAAGTTTTTGTAATATTGATTATTTAACATATACCTAGTTCACTATTTATAAGTTTATTAACCAGGGAGTGCACTTAAATTATAGAATAAAAATTTCTTGTTCTTATTTGGCCAAAGGTAAATGGATAACCAGGTTAAAGAAATCAAAACTGGATTTCCAATCTCCTTTAATTACGTTTTCCTAAGGGTAAATACAAGATATTAATTTAAAAAATACTTTGAAATCATCAAGCTTTGTTTTACCGCCAAAGTGATTGACCAAAACGGTCAAATTGAAGAGAGCATGAGCATTTTCTGAACCTTTGAAAATCGTTTTGATCGATGGTCACCATGGATCTTTGGTGTAGCGTAAATAGAAAGTGATTATGTAATGCACTAAAAATCACGTGAACCGCTCGAGTTCATTCTGTTGTGAAAAGTTTTCAGCATTATGTCGAGTTTTTGTACAATATTTGGAACCGGCCAGTACAGCTGAATACGGTCTAGTCAACGAGCGTATGCTTAGATGTAGACCTTAAAAGTCCTCCTCGCACAAGCCCGGATTGACGCGCAGTACGGTTTGAATCATCAGAAAGACCGCTACAAATAGACGAGGGCGCAGCCACGATTTTCCCAAGGGGGTATCACACTGTGTCAAACAGAGAGTACTCACCAGTTTTCGCCACCTGAATATTGTAGCGCTCGTGGCGTGCTTCTTGATGTTGTATGCGCACTAGCCTGGGTTAGCTTTTGGGTTCATGTTAACCTGCAATCTGGGTTTTTTTTTTCCGGCGTATCACTATTAGACGCAGTTGGAGGACAGAGAGTAAAAAGCCTCGTTTTTCCAATCGCAGATCAGCCTTTTGCGCTGCAACACTACACTGTACAATATCACGTTAGCCCGAGTTACAAAAAAAACGAGGGAATTAAAAAACCTTCCTGCCAGGTAAATTCGGGTCTCGAGAGGGGTTACTGGTTTACCTGGAAGGAGGGGCTGATCCGGACTTTTGAAAAGCGTAGCCATTTGTGGTGAATCAACCACTGAAGGTCACAGGAGAGAGATCATATAATAACTCTTCGTAATTCCCGGACAGTTTACCTTCCACGAGTAAATGTTTCAGTTGTTGTGTGCGTACGTCGTGCGTCACGCAATAGAAGTCACGCATTCGTTTTGTTGATGACGTTCATAGGCGCGCGTAATAAGTTGCGCCATATGAATCCGACAATGGCGGCATTGAATCTTCCTGAGAGTGAAGGTTCTCCCGAAGAAATATCGGAAAAACGACCGAAGTTATTGACTAGAGTGAAGGCAGTGGTTTTTAAGAATTTTTTGTCTATAAGCTTAGTCTTTTTCGTAGCTTTAGGAATTTTGGTTCCAGAACCCGGCGTCTTCTTCAGCGAACTACCGACCCACTATGTCTGTGTCGTTGGAATCTTTCTTCACAGTGGAATCAAACTTAAAACAGGAGAAGTGAAAGACGCTTTTAAAGCGTTCAAGGCTATGATCTGGGGTGTTATTTGTATTTTGTTGATTACGCCGATTATTGGCGGACATTTAACTGGATTGTTGCCATACACTGTCACAAAGGGTCATGCCACGACAAACGGCGTTGAAATAAATGGAAGTTCCCCGTCCACTGGAGGACACTCAGAGGGTAGTTCAGTACTTGGTCCAGTTTTTTTTCAAATAGGAATGCAGATTTATTTCATCGTGCCGTGTACGATCTCGTCTGGCGTTATCTTGGTAAGTTTAAAACATGTGTCGTAGAGCGATAGGGAATTTGGCGAGCTTAGGAAAGTTTAATTTTTTCTCCATTTATCCCCCCAGACACACATACACAACACCTGCAGAATAGTAGGGTTTTTTATTATTATTTTTATTATTATTATTATTTAGTTATTTATTTTCTGACCTGACCCTGTCCAACATTTTGTCAAAGATGTCAATAACCAGTTACACAGAATATTTTATAACCTTTAAGTTTTTCCTGCTCTGTGGGTCAAGAGGTCCAGGTTTGAAACCTGGCTGCGTTAATGTATTGGGTTTTTGGGCAAAACACTCACACTACCTCTCTCCACCAAGGGGTATAGAATTGTTCTTAAGAGTGTCTTTAATCTAGCGTGGACTGAATGAACATTTGATAAAGACACCAACAGAACAAACGTGTGATCAACACGTGAAACATTTTTGAAGTGCATGTGAAACAAATGAGCCAAGGCAACTTCTCTCTTTAAAATGCAAGTGTCCCACTTTTGTAAGATTCATATGCTGACAGTTTTCACACATTAAAATAGGTTGGAAAACAACTATCTTACATGTGAAACACTTTTGAAGTGCATGTGAAATAAACAAGCCAAGTTAACATCACTCTATGAAATGTGCTCCACTTTTGTAAGATTCATGTGCTTGCAGTTTTCGCAAATTTAAATAGGCAGGGACGCAACTATCTTGCTTGCTTGCTTTAAAAATTATTGACATAATGGTTCCAAAATAAATTAGGATTATGATATTGGTTATAATTTAAGTGTCTAAGTTTTAGATATACAATTTTTTCATCAACAGACAGCACAAGCTGGAGGTGCTGTAGCACTGTCAGTGCTGCTCACAGTGTTTTGTAACTTGGCCGCTGTATTCACCGTTCCTCCTCTTGTGGCCTGGATAATAAATTTTGAGAATGTTAGGCTGGATCTAGTAACATTTTTGATTAAACTGTTGCTGACAGTGCTTCTTCCATTATTGGTAAGTGTTGTAGCAAGAGTGTAATAATGCAAGATTCAATACATGAAATTCTTGGTGCTAAAGTTAAAAGAACCAAGTGACAGATAGGAGGGTGGCAAAGCAGGTATCCTGATCTCATTTCACGCTTGGATTTTTGGAAAAATGCATGTTTCATGTATATAAGGGGAAAAATTTCAAATTCTCATCTTGTGTACAAGGTTTCAGGGAAATACTGAGGTTTTTTTGTGAAATGATATGAAAAATCTATGGGTCACATATGTTTCAGGAGGCAAATTAAACTTTATTCTGGTTCATAAATTCACAAATCTCACTGGCCTTTCTGTTAAATTTGCACGACACATATTAATTTGGCCTTAATCACACACAGGTAGAACCCCTTTGCCACCCTTAGATAATAAGGAGAGTTAACATTGAGATCATGGGAGTGAATGGATTAACAGGCTTTGTCAATAACAAATTCATTATACAGCCAAAAGATTACAACAAAGGACTGCAGAACAGACATAGTTTGATGCTACTCTGGTTTGCAGATTTAATGAATGTAACCGAAGAAGTTAAAATTCATAGACTGCAGAACAGTTGCATGATTCAAGTAGTTGTTTGCATTGCTTTCACTATCTGTAAGATGAAGATATGTCAAGTTTTGTGACTCCTGTAATTACAAATGATCAAATAAACAATTTCTTTTCGAGACAAAAAGATGCCCAGATGTTACAAAGTATTTGAACTAGATACAAGGGTTTTTGTTGAGGGAGGAAAGTGGTAAATCTGAAACAAGCAATTAAGGTTTATCTAGCTTTGAAGTCAACCAAGGCCTAGCATGTGCTCCTTTATATTTTTGCACACAGACAAACATTTAATCCTCTCACTCCCAAGATCTCATTACTAGTCTCGTTACTGAATGCCATACAGTTCTTATCATGTTAGTTCAGAGAATTTAGCATTGGATCAATTAATAACCCCCTAATTGATATTTTTCTTCATTTGCATCACTTGCCTTCATATTGTATTTGTATTGTAAGGAGTACTCCTGTCTTGGGTCCTCACAGAAGTTAGGGTTAGTGGCATTTGCTACTGGCACTGAGATAAATTTTTTCAATTTTTTTTTTCTTCTTTATAGGTTGGCAAAGGTTTGAGATATATACCCCATGTGAAGCCATGTGTGAAGAAATATTCCAATACACTGAAAGTGATCAGCATCATACTATTGACTATGATTCCTTGGCTAAAGGTCAGCCAAGCAAGTGCACAAAAAGCCTTCACCGGATTCTCTGTTGGAAGTGTTTTTGCTGTTATTGGATGGGGCCTAGCAATGCACCTTCTTTTTATCATCATTGTCATTTTTCCATGTTTTCTACTGAAACTGGAAAAATCTGCTCTTAAGTCAGTTGTGATAATGGCCAGTCAAAAATCCCTGGCAGTCGCAGTATCAATAGCTGGTTATCTTCCATTTACACAAGCTGAACAAGGCTTGCTAAGCTTGCCAATGATTTTAATTCACCTTGGAATTCTTGTGGCTGATTCAGTGTGGGCATCTTGGTGGTTTGCATGGGATGCTAAGAAAGAAAAAGAGAAAGCTGACCCTGGCAACATGGCGTTAAATGGAGATGAGACTACTAATCAAACAACCAATGATCATTTATGTTGTGATGCAAATCAACAGTTACATGTTTCATCTGTTTAATGACCAAAGTCATATCCCATTTTTCCTCAAATAATGGCTGTGCCCTTTTAAGCACCCTCCCCAAATTAGCACCCACCCTCTAGGCCATAATATCAAACAAGCACCTCTCTTGAATAAATACCCCCATCCCCCCTCCTCCCTCTTTTTCTTAGATAATAGGGATACAAGGAAAACCTGTTTTTATTGCCACTTTTTAGGAGAATAACAAGTGCCCTCCTAATAAGTATCACTCTTTTTTTTTGCCTCAAATAAGTGCCTTGGTGCTTATTCAAGGAAACACAGTAGCTCTGAAGTAAACTATTACCCTGAATTGAGCTAGTTTTGTGTGGTCTTCATTTCTAGACTTATTTATCTTGACGTCAGTAAATCACTTGGTACTTGGCACAGGTGTAGTACATGTGTCAGTGAGAAAGGGGAAGAAATATATATTGTGATTAATCAAACCTGTAACAAAATTCTCGAATGTGGTTAGCTATCATTAGCCCGATTTGAGAACTAATAGGACAGCGTACACATCATGCTTGTAATTGGACAAGCATGATGTGTACGCTGCTTGTTTATGTGAACAGTATGTGTCGTGTGTGGACTGTTGTTGTGCATTTCCTGAAATTATCAGTTTTTTTTTTTTTAATGAAGACATTTCATCAGTCTAATTTCTTTCTTGAATTTTGTCAGTTTTGATTAATTGGTAACAGAACTTCGTGTAGTCCAGTTCTGTTGGTAATCATACCAGCGATTAACAAATCACTCGACTCAGGCCTGTTGCCGTTATTAACCCTTTGACCCCTCAAAAGATTGTTTATTCTTTCTCTTGGCTGCTGCACTTTTCCTTGTTAATTAGTTTTGAGAGTTTGTTGTTAGATCAAGATAAGAACTTCTACCTGGTAAGTTTGAGTATTCTCATTACCTGTTCATTGGATAATAAATCTCCTCTGGTAGTTAAAAGGTTAACTGTTTACACCCCAACATCAGTATGCTTAGTCGCAGTACTGTTCATATACATACATTTCCTAAAGTGCTGTAAGGGATAATTTGTTTAAAATTCCAGTGAGTCTTTAATTGGTGATCACTTCCTTTTATGTGTGATCCAGGAGTGATATTTGAAGGACAAAATTAGATGTTAATTATTCTTAGGGGTTGATTGGTTAACAAGGAGGAGTTCGACTAAACTGGGTTGTTTTTTTTTTTTTCATATTTAGTAATCTGGTGGTGGGGTATGTCTTCAAGTGTGTCTCTTGTATGTTTAGAAAAGGAGGTCTTTAATTATTTAATCAATTGATTATTTATTTTTCCATTCAACTTTGCCTTCTCATTTCATCTAAGTATGTACGAGAGTAAGAATTCACTCTCAAAATTAAGGCCTGGAGAATTCTTAATAGAGAAAAGAAGCCTGAAGCTTCTTCGCCCTATATCAGAACAAATAATTATACGTTTGAAAAATAATTTAAATACATAATGACCAACTTAATTTATTGCAGAGTCTTCCACATATATGTTTGTCTAAAAGCAAGCAATCAATTATGTACTTTCAATTTCGAAATAGCTGAACAGTCTATTGGAAAACACCACTTTTATGGTCTGGTTATATAATTTTCTGTTCTAATGATAAAACACGTCAGATCAATTTCATTTATAGAGATAAATAATTCCATTCTATTATCATTTTATCAATGTTAGTTATAAAATTAATGGAAGTATCACAACCATGCATAATTTGTTTTCAATAAATTTAATTTATTTATTAATATTTTTTGAGGTTTGGTGATTCACTAAGCTGAATTTTGTATTTCTAACTTATATTTGCATGAAAATTGATCAGCTTGAAAAGACTAGGGGATTGAACCTTTTCTTTGTTCTTCTAATGTCCACAGCGACAGTAGTTTCAGTAGTTCTGCTAATAATTGATCCCATACATGCTGTCAAACAAAGTGATATATGAATTATACAAAATTTAATTTAAGGGTCTATTTTCTCGCCAGTTAACAACCCAAATTTTGCAATTGGATGAGTTATTTTCCATTTTCGTTCAGCCCTTGTCAAACCATTTTCAGGTGAACTAGTACAATTTTCAAAACCAAGAGAAGGTAAAAAAGCCGCCACATGTTTAGCTATCCCAAGACAAGCAGACAAACCAGTTGACCGAATGCCACCCACTGTGATCCATGCTTTGTCTGGTTGACACTCAATGCAGTAGTCTTTGAACTCTGTTGCAGGCCGCAGACCTGCATATGTCCCTATGACAGAATGTTCTTTGAGAGATGGAAGAATGGTCTGTGCCCGATTTATTAAAGTGTCAATGACTGTCCTGTCAATCTCTGCATTGCAGCGATCTAATTGGTCTTCTGCTGTGGGCCCCACTATTATGTTATCATAGACTGTAGGAAAAAGAAGAACCCCTTTAGTTTTTGGTGTAGGTACAGGAAATATAATTGAGTTCAAAAGTTTGCCTGCGGACTTGTCAAACACAGCATACTGTCCTTTCCGTGGTTTGATGGTAAATGGGCTTTGTCTATGTATTGTTTCTAGCTCATCACCATATAAACCAGCACAATTGACTACAACTGAAGCAGTGATTGGCCCTTTAGATGTTGACAGCTGCCAATCCTTCCCTTGTCTTTTCCCACCAGTCACATGACAGTTGGTTAAAATGGTTGCGTTCTGCGCCAGTGCTAAGTTTGCCAACGTGACGGGAATTCTCCACGGATCCACAATGCTCTCTCCAGGCACATGCACGGCACCAAGAGCATTTCTATTCAAGTGCGGTTCTTTCTCAAGAAGTTCTTGAGCTGTTATCTGCCTTACGTCTGAAACACCTGCTTCGTGAGAAATAGCGACAATTTTCGGCAATTTTTCCAGGTCCTCTTCGTTCCATGCTACAATAAAGCCTCCAGATTTCCTGTAAGGAATGTTATGCTTCGAGAAAAAGCTTTCATTCAATTCTCGCGCCGATTGAAGGCATCGTAACTCTAAACTACCGAGCGGCGCATCAAATCCCGTGTGAAGAGTTCCACTGTTTCCTGAGCTAGCGCCACAGACAAGATTCTCTTCTTTTTCGCAAAGAACACATCGAAGTCCTAGGGAAGTGAACTCGTGAAGAACGGAACAACCTACAACTCCTCCTCCCACAACAGCCACGTCGAATTTCCTGTCTTCTTCCATGACAGAAAAAAATATATCCTATCTCCTAGCTTTCAATCACCGCGTAGATCCATCTATATACGGATTCCCTTTCAATTCTTCTGACACTTCACGCGTAAACTATATCATTTTCAAGCAATCCTCTCTAAGAAATGTCCGCAATCCCGTGATTAACTTGAGCCAGCAAGCACAATTACCACTTCATACATTATGTATGTGGAAACGGTTTGGGCGGACGCTCAAGATGACGGAGATTCTATGAGCCCCGTGATTGCTAAAAAAAACCTACCGTATATTGCATTGGTAAACTCATAGAATATTGAACAATTTTAAGTTAAATTTGGAAAAGCAATAGGCCGCACTTTATATCGGTGTAAAGGCGTGATAACTCAATTGGGATGTTGGGAGAACACAAGTAAGATCAAGAAAAGTTTGCAAATCATTTGCCTCCGGTTAACTCTTTACACCCTCACATCAGTTTGCATTTTCTCCATAATGTTTTTCTTAAGATGTCGACAAGGAGAATTTTTTAACAATCAAGAGCTTCTCTGGCTGATGATCATTTTCCTTAACGTGACCTTAATGTGTAATTCAGGGATGAAATTGTAAGGAGAAATTAGATGCTAGTCACTCCTACGGGTTAAAGGGTTCACATCCCAAGTGGGTTATTACGCTGGTAAACCGACAGAAAGTGCGGTCTATTGCCTGCATGGATTAAAACTACATTGAGTAGAGGTGACAACTGAACAATAGCCTGCATTTATCCTGAAAATATCCTCGGATATTTGCTCGCGGACATTAGCTGTTCCAAGGGGAGAAAACTAAGTTTTCCTAGAGCAAGCTTTAGGAAAAGTGGGAGCTTTAGGGAAAAGATAAGGCGCCAGGAAAATATTGAAGCACTTTTTTATGTCAAAGATTTTTGTTTACGGTACTGGCCGTCTAGTTTGAAAATTGAGGGGTATGATTCGGTATATCGTATAAACTTTCAGTTCAATCGAGGTATTACACGTTCGCGAGCGAAAATACTTGATATATCGCACTCATGAGTTTTTCTTTTTGTTTTTTTTTTGGTGCAACGACCTCTAAAATATTTTATAAAAGAAATCTAGCAAAATCAGTAAAATACATAGGACTATAGTATAAGGTGTTAAGTTCATCTATCAAGGTATGATTCAAGATGAACTTTTGAATGTACTTATTTTACTGTATGCGGAAAATCCCTCTGAGAAAGAGATTTTCCGCATGCAATAAATGCTATACATTTTCAACTGTACTTGACCAATTACGGAATGCAAAAGGCATTCAACGCTGCTCTTGTGTACGTTATAACCATCTTCTCGCAATACTAGACTTCAACAGGCCTTAAATATTTTTGATACTTTTTTGATAAATGTTGGTGGCGTATTTGACAAGAAATGACTAAGAAAAGGACAAATTTGTTGGAGCTGATTAACATGCGTGCTGCCTGCAAGGCGCTCACACCTGTCGAGGTCATATTTACTGGATACCGGTAACTCCTTTAGACCAAGGAACGAAATAAGGTGCTTTTTCAGCGCAGTACAGTGTTTACATCAATAATGGAAATGCTGCTTCTGTGACGCTCAAATGCCGTTTCCGAATCAATTCAATGAAAGCTTACAACAGCTTTCCAAATACCAGCATTGACGGCCATCGCGTAAGTTGACGATTGAGTTGGGTATCAAAGATCGTATAATCGATATGTGGCATATGGCCTTGATGTAGATGGTCCAGGTGGTATTTATTAACGAAATATGACACTGGCGTACTCCTACTAATATGCAATAAAAAATGTACTTTTGCTGGACAAAATAAATCAACTGTCATCATTTTACATCCAGTTTTTAGGATGTTTTGGGCTATCCGGTCTTTTGTCAGCTGTTAGTAAAAGCCCACCACAAATGTCAATTGTCAGTTAGATTTTCAGAGATTTGTTAGTTGTCAGCTAAATTTTGGTCATTTGTCAGTTGTCACTTAATCCCATCCAGACCCTCTGGTATGAATAACTACTCAAGACCCTCACATGAAACAGGCGATCATTTTTGGTAAACGTTGCTATCTGTTAAGTTGCAGTTTTAAAGTGCAAGGGATTGCGAGTTATTAGGTTTGGGCCTCAAACTATTGTCGTATCAAACTATGCGGAGCGCTCCGTTTCCCTTCGCGTGTAGGGTAGTTTATTGGGTGCGTTAGTGAGCCACTGCTTCGCTTGGCGTTGGATAAGTAAAAATGAATGGAGTCTGATATATCTTAACAAATCCCAATGATTATTGAAGAGGTGGTTAGCCATTGACTTAATGGTGAGATTTCAGTCACAGGAAGTTCATATCAAAACTGGTGCCCTGAATGAGCGCTGGTTGAGTTTTTGTAAAGTAGTTGGTTCGATTTGAACTTGACGCGAGGCTAACGGCAGACAGAGTTCACGAACCAGGTTCCTCTGATGCAGTTTTGGTTGAGCGAATGAAACCATTTAGAAATGAAAACAAATCGTTGCTCTTAACGTATAAAAAGAAACAGTTGGTTGGTTACGGTACAAACAATAAGGTTAGCTTTGTTTTCTGTTAAAACAGCAGAAAACAAATGGCCCACCAGTGTGTTTGCATAGCATTAATATAAATCCGATTGAAATCCGCTTGTGAAAGAGAAAACTTTTTAAACGGAGCATCAACTTTTGAAGACAGGATAGTTGATACACATCCTGAATAACCGGACGACAAGAAGAGAAACTACAAGTTGGCATTTTTCAGAAAATTATGTGGTTTGCATTTTCGCATGATATCGAACGTTCTTTCGGGTAGGTGCTATCATGTGACGATCATCACAATTTTTATGAACGCAAGGAATAGGATTTACAAATCTTATTTGCTAAATATCAATTCTCTGAGAAAATGGCAAAATTAAGAATTTTAGGTCCACTTAAATTCGAAAAATAGAACTGTTCAAGGATAGAAAACTTTGCCATTATTCAGTGGTTTTCCGGCCTATTGCTAAGTCAGTCAGTGAATCGAGGGTAAAGAGTAAGCCTGGTTGGCATAGCTTTTGATTTTACTTTGCTATGTGACTGAGTAAAGCACATTGCACCACTTTTGCAACCAATCAGATACAAGACCTGAGCACTTGCATCACATTATAGTTTGGTCTCGGTTTTTTTCGTCCTTCTCGAAAAGGACCATAAACGATAGACATTGCATTCATTTGGCGGCTTTCACTCGTCAACCGACATGCGTTAACCCTAAGCTTTAGCACCCTGGAATAAGTCATTATAAATCCGCTCTAACGATCGAAACCTGTCATTTTTAGATTCTCTCTACGGTGGCCGATTCACATTATCAACTTCGCTGATAAAACCAAACTACATCACAAAATGGGTCACACTTCCTTCGTACATTTTGCTGTAGGTGTCATTTAGCGTGTAAGTACCCTTCAAGATTTTGCATTCAACCCGACAAGATTCTTCCCGTAGACATTTCCGATCATTTTGTACCTCTTTCTAAGTCATGCCGGACAAAGATAGGATTAAATGATAG